TTCGCCTTGCTTCGCAGCGGCTCCAGCGTTCACGGAGGTGCGATCAGTATAGGAGGCCGCGAGTGTGTCAACGCAGGTAACATCTAAAGCCAGTGGTTTGCCTCGTGCCCCTGGTACTAGAGTGATGACGTCCGGCCTTTTGTTATCCTTACCCGACAGACCCTTTGGCTCCATTCTGGCTGGAAAGCCCGCTGTCTTAAGGCCCCGGGCGATCTCGCCGCTAATACCGTCGTGCCTTGGCAGTCTTCCTGCTGAGCGCTTGCAGCGAAGTCCATGCCGGCCCAACTCATCAACTTGCATGCCGCATACGCAAGCGTGAGGAGTTACAATAGGCGCTCCCAACCGTAAAGCAACGCTGATTCGGAAGGCGGTGTTGTCCAGTAGGTTTCCGAGACAGGCAGCGGGAAGTGCGTGAATCCAGATACCGGATCCAGATACCGGAAAAATCATCCTCATCTGTTTCTGACTCGACGAGGCCGAGAAACCGACAGCTGTGCATCATCCAAGAAAATTACGAGGCTCGTGATTCTTCTGGATGTTGTAGAGCAGGCGCAACAGTTTGACCCGGGCGAACGACAACAAGTTCCTTCCGGTGGGCTTTTTGAACTCTGAGGACCGATTCGGATTCCGCAAACAAAAACAGCGTTAATCCATTAGACGAGGAAAAATGATTTAGAAGGCCGCCGACAGCTGCCTTCGCGCTGGGGCGCTGACGGCGTCAGCGCCCTAAGCGGCGAAAGGCAGTGGCAAATAAAATTTACGGAGCCTAGGGAGACGGTACCAAAAAGGTAGGGGAGAAGGTTTCAAGCGGTATAGCGACTTCCACCGACCAGAAACGGGCTAACGAGTTTTTTTTAAGCTGAAGCCTGAAACAGATTTAAATTCCTCGAGATCAAGCGAAAATTGGTCTTCTACTTGGTGGACAGGAAGCTCAGTGATGTTGCCTGAAAGTTCAACTGATAGAGTTATGCAACAACACATTATACACGCTCTGTATGTTACAGCTTCCATCTTTTTCCTTCCACCTATCAGAACATCTACTTCAGGGACTACAAATATACAGACCGTGCTAAAGTATACAGATCTGCTGCAGTGCGTTTGCGCAACAGCCGCAACAATATGCATAAAGGCTAAAGCAGCATGCTGCACCGCCACGAGCTACATCATCCTTAGCTTACAAACCACTGCCACGCTAATAAAACTAATACGACGTCGAATACGCGGCGTTAAGCTGTAACTTTATAACATCGAATAATGTTGAAAAAAATTTATAAATTTTGAAATAATTTTGGAAAAATCTTCACGCTAAAATTAGCATGAGGCATTTGGTAACGGTTTTAGAAATGGCTTTTTTAGATCTAATCAAATAAGAAAGGCTTGAAAATGAAAAACATTGACTCCGATGCTACCGAGGACTCAAACTGTTTCCCCGATTACATTAATACAAAGACATTTGTATCCGCTGGTGTGACTGCAAAACTGGAGCCACGCGGCACCTCTCACACATATTATACTTACGCTTAGTATTTTACGCGTATACATATATGTCCTCCTCCGTGGAACCTTTATTCATCCCTTAATCATCTTCTGAATTTTATATCATCCCTTTCTGAATTTTATTCTGTATTTTATTCTGTAGTATCATCCCTTTATGTATTTTGTTCTGTATTTTTTATCCTATCTTTTTTATCTTAAGTTATAACATAAGCGGACTGGGTGAAATCGAACACTTTCAAAAAACACGGTACCTGCAGGGGTTGCACGCTACTTTTCACGGTAAAGCGCACCACGACAGCCACAACAAAGATGCGAAAATAGTTGCAGTGGCATATCGTATTTCTCTAGGCATCGCTCAGCATCTAGCAGTGCAATACTGCATGTACTGGGTAGTGGGTAGGCCGGGTGGCCCAACAAAATTGCGGGCTAGTTTATCGTTGTGCACTCGCACCGCCCAGTTGAGTTCATATTCGTCTTATTCGAAATAGCAACATTTGAAACATAGAACTACTTAATCGTAATTAGTAAACAAAGGTGAATAATTTCGTGAATTATTTTAATAAATTAGGGGGAATTCAACGGTGTGTCGGTGTCCCAGAACAAAAATAAAAAAGCAACATAAAAACATAAAAACATAACACTCATTAGCAACATAAAAATCACGGCTCAGAGTTTCATCACGGCGATACTGAGATCCGCGATAACAACTTCGGAATTTGCGATAAGCAAGCGGCCAGTACCCATACCATGACTTGGAGGCGCCGCGTCCTGCGTCAAAGGGATGCTTGCCTCTTTCGCCTTGCGAAAAACTGCACGCGCAATGAACCGACCACGGGCAGACACAAGACAGACCAATTTCTCCCTCCTCCTATGTCTTCTCCAAGCGCATACATCGCGTATGCGCTTGGCCACTACCGGACTTCGGATTGTCACTTTTCTGAGTCCGGCCCGTGCCTGTGTGAGCAGGTCATCTCAAAGAGAGCAGCATCTTAATTGCTTTTTAATTACTTTTTATGACACCTGCGCGCGATTTGTGAGCCTGCTCTCTTGATCGGCGGCTTATCGCAAATCGGGCAGTATCTGAATGTGGCCAGCGTGCAGACATCTCTGTCTGCAAGACCTCTTCGAATGACCAGAGGCGTTCCATCCTACTCATGGTCAGACGGGCAGATGAATGGGCTCTGTCTGCCCCACTTTTGCCCAGCACAAATAAACTGACTATTCTCGCTCTCATTAGTCAGCCCTGCCCTTTCAAGACAAAATCGCCAGTTAACGTACTCGAAACAATTGACATGAGTCAATTGACATGGGTCAATTGACCCATGTTCGGGCAGAATCGTCTCTGAGATATGTTCGGTTCTATAGGGTTAACGTTGACTTGGTTTTTTTAACGTTGAGAGAAAACGTACTTCTCCACATGAAATAGTTTGAGACTGAAATCCATAGCTTGTATGGGTACAATGACACAAAATTCTTTAGTTCCAAAGCTGGGTCACAAATCTCACAATACATTTCCGAACAACTTCAGCTGGCACAGCTTTTCACGAGGGTGTCATAACTCGGAAAACTTTTCAGCTGGCACAGCTTTTCACGATGGTGTCATAACTTTTCGGAAAAACTTTTATAGTTTTTAGTAGCTAATAGAATTTGTAATCGAACGAATCTAAAATGTAACATTTTACGACAAGTGACAAGCGGGCGAAACAAAAACGGAGACCGCCATTTTGTTGGGCCACCCGGTAGTTGCTAGTACCACTATAATACATGCAGTCACATGGTAGTCTGGTACTAAGTTTTCAAAATCTGCATCGAGTGCACCGAGATGTCAATTTAAATTGAAGTCAACCTGGATGGTTGTTTCCGCTCCACAGCTGCGATCGGGACAAAGCTAAAGTGGCAATCAATGAGGTTTCTCCGTTTGAACACCAAACGTATGCTTGCAGGCCAGCGTACATTATCGGGAATTAAAATTCTCAACCGTCCCAAACACGAGAACATCATCGACATCAAGGTCATTTTGCCCGCTCCCACGATGCGGACTGGGATGACCAGATGCGGGATCATCCCGCACTAACGCAGCGGTATATAATATATTGTTCAGAACTGCAGACACTATTGAAACTGACCCAGCACAAATGAAAATACAGCGTTTTGTTATTGAAAACACAGCGTCTTGGACAGGATAATATTTTCTATTTTCTGTATCAGATCCTCCGCGGACTTAAATACATTCATTCGGCTAATGTAACGCATCGCGATTTAAAGCCGAGCAATCTGCTGTTTGAATACGACGTGCGATCGAAGCGTCAAAAGCTCTGTCTGCCCCACTTTTGCCCCACTGACAGAATATGTAGCCACCAAATGGTACATAGCTCCTCAAACCATGTTAAATTTTCGACGTTACGCCAAAGCGAATAAGTATGTAAATTGAACAAGTACTATAAATAAATTGAATAAGTACGTAAATTGAATAATTGTCGTCGCTATCATAATATATTTTAGAGACGAATGAATAAGCAATTTGGTCAATTAATTAACGTAGCGTTTTTTTTTACTTGTTGTGGATACTCTTATGCGGCACCGTATGATCCTTTATTTTGTCTTATTGGACAAGAATGTTCGTTATCATTGCAGCGCGCGAGGTAAACAGTATAACAACAATGTGTTCTCCAGCATAACGCATAACAAAAGCATAACAACAGCGTGTGTCAGCATTACAACAGTACTGACTACATTTTTCGGTGAACATCAGATGTTCACCGAAAAATATTCTAGTTCTTGCTTGAATAGCACTGTTGTGTTGTCCCTAATTAAGACAAAGGCCTCTTATTTTGTCGTGGCCAACGGCCATACGCTACGGTAGGATTTCCATGTGTTATCTGCTAACATTTCCAAAATGTAATCTTCGCAGGTACTGATTGTACTGATTGTTAACAATTTTCTTGCTGCATTTTACCGTAGTGCATATGAAGGAGACTTTACAGAGGAGTCCATTGTAATACACAACTATTCATATGCACTGCGATTTTACTGTTTTTCAAAGTAAAGTAATATTAAACCTGTCGAACACAAAAATTGTAAAAAATTATAACATTTTCAGTCGGTATTGAGTTGTCAAGCTGGGTGGAAAATTTACTCGCTGCGGGAGCATATGTCTGCTTCTGATGACAGAATGATTTTGCTCGATGCTGAAAGTATTACGTGTTACCGAATTCTTACCGTTGAAAGTTAAGTGTTACCAAATTTACTGATTGCAAGTATTAACTATGATGATGCGATGCGATGGTGCGATCGTCTTTCAAAAACCGCATGTACAGGCAACAATTGACAATTGTTGCTTGTATGTAGTTTTCGAAAGAAGATCGATCGATCTTTTTGAAGATTTTAAAAAAAATCTCGATTTTTGTGTATATTTTGCATTTGTTTCGATATTTCGATTTTCGATATTTTGTTAGATCTGCGAAGTTGGCCGCTGCACTCTTTATTTCCATATTTTAGTATTTCTGCCGCTTTGCTGTTAACCAACTAAGTCAGTTTTCCGTTCTCGACAAGAAATCCACCTAAAGAGGCGCAAATTAATGGCCCTATGGCCAAATTAATGTACAATTTAAATACAATCAAGGTTCGCGCTTACAATCAAGGATTTTTCAGCTGTATTTACAGCGATTCCTGGATTTCGAATTAATATATCTCGTAGCCCGATGGCATCTGCCTTGCTCAGAATTACGGTTTGTCGTTTTGCAGCGGCTTTGCGACGCGGTGTGTTAGAAGAGCTCACAAAATTGTTTTGAACAAGATAATTGACCCTAGTAGTTGAAATACTCGTAGTAATCAAGAACAAATGATGCAGTTACCGTGTTTACCAATTAGTAACCCCGGCTAATTAGTAACCCCGGCTAATTAGTAAGTAGTAACCCCGGTGTTTTGACACTGGTAATAATAAGCTCATAGCGGCATGGCATGAGGTTTATATTTCGGGACGGGTTTCGGAAACGGAAAGGGTCACTAATTGATAAAATATGGTAGATTCATTACCTTGGTTCACCGCCTCCTTGCAGCACTCCTGGCACTGAAGTAGGCAGCAGAGCAATGGAGCTCCTGTAGCCAGCCGGTGACCTTGAGCGGGCAGTATTGCTACTGAAACTACCACCCTCCGACGCCCTTTAACAAAGTTACGAAAGCGCTCAAATTATTGATTACTCTGTAAAGAAATTTGGAGAGTTAATGTGGAGAAGTGATGTTTACCTTCGTTCGTAAAGTATGTTGATATCATTTTGAGTTAGTGTTTGTCCCATTAAAAAAATGCCAGCGTTAAGCTTTTCCAGATCGTAGCATCTTCCAAAGATGTCGGACAAGCTTTGGGTAAGATCATACGGCACTTCGTCTTTTCTCAATCCCCCAATCTCCCTTTGTTCATACCGGGTTACGAAATCGACAAACACATGCATCTGATCCGATAACATCATCGCCAGATTCTTATAAACGCCACATTTATTGGAATACTCCTTCTGTAAAAAAGAATTGTTATTCAGCAGATTTTTGAATACCGGATTGTTTACTAACGGTTTATTGACGAGGGTTTATTAGGGCTGCCAGGGTTTATTAACGAGTTACGCTTACGCTAGCAGTTACGCTACTTCTATACATGCAAATAAACTGAGTTTCGAGTTATTCAGCGAGTTATGCTACCAAAGACAATATAACTTATATTTAATATCGAATTATAACAACTTCTGAAAGTAACATGCATTAATTAGTTAAAAACAAGTGCAGAGGTCCGTACCGTAGTTAAAATTTCTTTGCCTGATATGACTAGCACTTTTTGCGCGATTTTTAAATTCTGCCGGTTTCGGTGATGTTATGAGCAATAATTACCGAATCATCCATACAAAGAGCCTTACGGCACATTCTGGTCCACAATAGACTGAATGTGGTGGTATGAAGATATCGACCCGTTAAAGGGCGGCATTAATATTGTAATATCATTTCGTCCGTTACTTCGGTTTCGTAATTTAGATCTTCGTTGTTTATTTTTTTGTAGGACGTCAACGCAAATATCTGGTGCATATCTGCGCAGTCAATCGGCGATGGTTTTTTTGGTTTTCGGGAAACTTGATCCTAAATGTAAATTGACACTGTAAATGTAAAGTGACAAGCTTAAAGCGAATCAGCCACTTAATACAACAATAACGCATTTCTGTATAAATGTGCTGCACCTTCGGCAAAAAACCAGTTATTCGCCTGTTGCTTGTGTACCAAGTTCCAACCAGTAGCTACTTTGCACATCGATCGTTGTAAATTCAAAGTAGTGTAAAGTGGTTGTACGGTAATTAGTGTACATATCTACAGGCGCTCCCATGTGATATCTTCCACTGATTTTATATGAATTAGTGGCCTTAGCGAAACTTGCACGCCTTACTTCGTTTTCACTTCTGGCAATATGCTGTACCCACTGTGGAGGAGGCATAAGAAAAACTTCGACCATCCCACACAGCCGTTCAGGAATACGTTTTGCTGCCAGGTATTTATGATAGCCAGCGAAACCTAGAAATTCGCGGAAACCATTTCATTTAAGTCGGACAGCATATAAATTCCGGTTCACAAACTAAAAAATCGACGATTTTTTTCAACACCAGATCTCCTGCACATTGCAAATTGCGACGGAGCAAATCGGCTGACCTCAGCCCTGAGAATTAAGTAAAGGCACAGCACAGCGATATGATAATTTGGTTTACAATTACATCACCTATTGAAGTAACATCGCCTTTTTTGAAAGCTGCAATCCAGAGTTCCCCTGATGGCTGGTCCAGCGGCGGTGGTGCTTCTCGCACTATACACATAATGTCAAGGGAGAACCGCCGCTGTTTTAGCTTTTGAACAAGGTCTTCGATGAGGGCGACATCTGTTCTTCTTGCTTGGAGAATTCCCCTTGGCTGTTTAAGATGAATTTGTCCTATGTTTTCCGTGTGTATAGCTGTAACTGTACACGAGAATATCACAGTTCGAAACGCAGCATTTGTTACTTTTTTAATGTGTAGCTTGACGTACTCAACCATTTCGACCTGAACAAATTGTTGGCTGCGTCGATAAAATCTGGAATGCCATCTAGATGGGCCACTGTTTGCTCCGTGGCTTCGCTGGCCATTCTGGGAGTATTTCTCTTAATAAATAACTGTAGGGAGCGTTATAATTATATTATCAGCAATAACATAAAGAACAGTGCTGTTAAGATTTTATACTGTATTTTCAGCTCATTGTGGAATATTTGTTGTTGTTGTTGCATAAATATACGGCGTAGTCCTTACAAGGAGTGGAGTATTAATAGAAACAATATGATTGTTTACTTAACAGCATACGCTGTGTTTCTGCGCAACCTGTAGCAATTAAGTACTACTAATTAAGTGCATTTTTATTATACCCATTCCGCTTATAGAAAAACAAATAACATCACAGTGCAATACACTCAATCAGCAGAAAACCGCCTCGGGAGGTCTAAAAACAGAGAACAGCTGATCTAAATTTGCTCCCGGTGGCGCTGTTCCCGGTTGAACGGAGGCCGCGCTGCCGCGCAATACAAAGTAAGTAAGTAAGTAATACAGTGCACCGTGCACGAAGTAATGCAGCAAGTGATGCACAGTAACGTAAGTAATGAAGGAAGAAAAGGCAGCAGTTACAACAAGGTAGAAGGCTTTTGCGGCTCTCTGCTTCCACTGGTCACTCGTGCCTACATCCTACCGATTACTTCGGCCGTTTTCAGTTCGGCCACGTTCATTTCGGCCAAAGTTTTGAACGGCGGCCGCTCAAAACAGGAAACTTCGGCCGAATCGGGCATTAATCACTTCGGCCACAGAAAACTTTGGCCGAAATGTGGCTACCGAAACCTTTTAGTCAGCAGTGCGCGACTCCTCGTTGTACCTGCTTTTTGTTCTTTGTTTCTATCTCTTCTGCACGTACTATTTTCAGTATTCTGTGACTTATTTTTGACTTGTCCCTCTTACCATCATGTCTCCCTTACGCATTTGGATCTGACGTAAACCTCGCCGACCGCCACAAGATCGATCACACGAAGTCTTGGACAAGTGCCTGAACCTGAGAGAACCTCACCGGACGAAAGCTATTGTACGAAACCTAAAACACTTAAGAAACCAAAGAACTTGAAAAGACCTAAGGAAACAAAGAAATCGAAAGAAACCTAAGAAAACCAAAAAAACTAAGAAACCTAAGAAAACCAAAGATGGCCAAAATGAGCAGTTGCCGAAATGCGTTGGCCGAAATGAGTGCTGGCCAAAGTGAGCTACGGCCGAAAGGAACGTTGGCCGAAGTGAATCTGTGCGGCCGAAGTGATCGGACGCGGTAGACGTAGTTCCTACCGATCAGTAACGGTAGTAACGGCTGGTTGTAACCACCTGTCTTCGCCCTACATCGTACCACTTACGTGATCCTTATCACTTGCTGCGTTACTTCGTGCGCTGTCTTACATACAGTATATACAGTACTTCGTCTGCTGTAACATTCGTCAATGTTTATAGTGAATGCATCGCGCACTGCCTACAATAATATTTATATTGTATTAATCACATAATAATGGACTTACAGTTTGTGATCAGTTAAAGTACTTCCGTCCGGGATTTTCTGGGAGCTTTGTAAGTTTATTCCCGAAAATTTGCCTTTATTCCCGGAAAGTTGCTGCTGCTACTGCGCGTTTATTGCTACTACCGTGCTACTGCTACTGCGCGCGCGTCATATTAAGTATTACTAAACTAACTTACACTAAGTTAGTTTAGTAATATTATGATAGTATTAATCCTCAAATGCCTTTGTTGTAAACATTACAACTAACAAAGCAACAGCAACAGAAAACTTTTGGTTCCATCAACCAGTGCACAATAATCGCATCTTAACCGTAATACTTTGTAAATTGTTTTTTAGGCGAAAATCAACGTACACCGAATTTCAAAAAGGTTCATTCGCGCAGTTGTTGGGTGTAACCATTGATGAGCTTTTTCCAGTACAGTAGGAAATTACGCCATCACTCTCAGTTTTGGGCTTCCGGTTGCATCTTCCAGTAACTAGTGGCTATATGAGCACTAACATAAAACCAGACCCTTTACGAAACCACATTTTAAAATTTGTTGTAATAAAAGAATAATATTAATGGAAAGTAAAATACTGGAGCCGCTTCTGGTTTGGAATAGCAGTGTTATTTAATGACATGCCAGCTAAGATATGTTGTTCTGTAACCAAACTAAAGTGCAGAGCTAAGATATGAACCTGTAATTTTGTTGTCACTGCTTTTTTTTATTATTATTATTCATCGTGGAGCAGGTAGCCCATTTCCGGCTAGGGTGACATACTAGCTGGGATTTTAAACCTGGCCAAACAGTAAAATCTGTAAAGAAGTTAGAGTCGTTCGATAGAAAATTTAAAAGCTGGGATTTTAAACCTGGGATATAAAGCTACTATAAACAGGATAGCTACTACGTATATAGCTACTATAAACAGTGAAATTTGTTTCAGAAAATTAATGCATGCTCATTAATAACGGTGCTAATTAAAAACGTGTGGAAATTTATTTTGTCCCAGATCGCAAACTTTTGAATCTGCTGATACGTTTTTCCAGCACTGAATATTTTAACTTTTTCAGCTGATTTACTTAGCGAAAACCTTTTGCTTTTAAAAGAAAAAAAAGTTGTTGGCATGGTGCGTGCTCTGAATGAGCTACGCAGTTCCCGCATTTTGTGGCTTTTCGAAAAACTGCAAGTTTTTTGTCAGATTTTTTCGTTTATTTTAGGGAAATTTTTTTGCTGCAAAACAGGCTGCAACCAGATAAGTCAATTTGGACGATAAATGTACTGTAGCTAAATAATTGCTTTTATAGAAATACGTTTAAGCCTTATCAGTTTCTGAAGCGTCGGAGAGGAATTTATTTTTAAAACACCGGCTAGCTGATTTCACGAGAATCATATGTGCGGGCTTTGTGCTTACCGCTCCTGGCCCAAACACATCCAGTAAAGGTCACAGTTTTTTAAAAGGAAAAAAACAAGAAACACAACAAGAAAAACAAGAAACAAGAACAAAGAAACAAGAAACTACCCGAAATAGTAAAGCTACACCCATGAAAATACTTCGTCGAATAACGGCGATTTTGAATTCAAAAATGCCAAATTTGAATTTGGGTTTCCGGGACATCACCCAACTCCACCCATTTTTTCCAAAGAATTTGTAAAAAATTCAAAGCTTTGTAGAATGTTGGTTTTCTTATTTTTTATATGAAACGAACACTGCTCTTTCAAATGAAATTAGAAAGCTGTCAATTAAAGGCTGGATGGACCCGCAACACTTCAAAGAAAAAGACCGACATTTTGTTCGGCCACCCAGTACTTGATGTGGTATATCTATATTACTGTAAATACAACTTTCAAATTATTATACCCATTCCGCTAGTAGAAAAACAATTAACATCAAACTGGAGAGGCTCGCTCCCATGAATTTCTACGACAGCGACTGTCCCTGGAGATTCAGCGGGGAAATGCGGCTTCAGTTTTCGGAACAATGGACGGAGTTGAAAAGTTTACTGAGCTCTTTCTGTTGTGATAATAAATTCTTCTTTCACCGTTTGGTTAACTTATTAATGTTTTTTGATTTGTATGCTGCAGTCGTTTACAAATAAAGCACTTCATACCATTAACATCACAATGCAGTACACTCAATTAGCAGAAACAGCCTCGGGAGGTCTAAGAACAGAGAACAACTGATTTAGATTTGCTTCCCGGGGATCTGTCCCCTGAACGGAGGCCGCGTTCCCGCGCTGGATTTCTATGCTAATCCGCTGGCGTAGATATTTCGATGCTCCTGCCTCGCCGGTTTCTTGCCGTATCCTCCTACCAACTTCCGTAAGCAGCTTCTCGAATTCTCGAAGCCCAAAGCGATGATCAAGTAGTCGTGGGTGATGCTCTGGTACTTGGCTAACTAATCCTGTTCGGCCTCTGCCGCCGCTGCTCCAGCTCGCACGGATGTTGCCGCGATATGCGAGAAGGCATGCTCAGACACATGTTATATCTCAAGTCAGCATTCTTCCCCTTTCTCACGGAACCTACGTGACGCCATCCGTTCGGCATAAGCCCGCTGGTTCAAGTTCTGTTTCGATTTCCGGCTGATACGAATGCTCGTTTACGGTTTACAGACAACGTTCAGGCTGCTGTGTCTGGGCTTCCTGCCTCGACTTTTCTTGCAGCTAAGGGCCTAAGGCCATGGTAGCCTCGGGCGTCCACCCAGTCCCCGCGGTGCGGAGTGACGATAGCTACACCGAGGCGTAGCCCAACAGCGATTCTCAGGGTAGAGTCCGTCAGCAGATTTCCAAGTGAGATTGCCGGTAACGTCTCTAGCCAAGCCCCATTCTCTTTTGTGCTTACGCCGCGCAGCCGAGGGCGCCTGACTGACGCTCGAGTTTCAGCCCGCAGCATTTCGAGCTTCATTAACCCGCAGCATACTTTCTGCAGGTTGCGGATATTGACATCCGGCGCATCACTTTTTGTAATTGTCTGCCACTGCTCTACTGCCACGCTGCAGTACCCATCCGGGTGAAAGTCCGCAATCTCGGATGCCAGCGTCGCGATTGAGTGTCATATAAATACTGTACAGATATAGTGTGCGAAGTACTGCTACAGAAATGCATGCAAGAAGCGAAGAAGTTAGCTGAACGAAGTAAGGCGGACAAATCAAAAACTCTGGATGCAGCAGACAACGCACGAAGTAATGCAGCAAGTCTAACGCAAGTAATACAATGAAGAAAGAAGGCAGAGGTCACTATAACGCTATAACGCCGAATGCCTTTTGCGGCTCTCGGCTTCCATAATCCTTAGTTCTCTTTTGTTAATCGTTATTTCTTTTGCGCAGTTTTCAGTCTGTACAGTCTTTATTAGACACATGCATAATTACGTGTATATTTGGCTACCTAGAGGCGTCAGTAATATTGTACCTACCTATTGTACATAATTACTGTAACCACTTTGGAACTAAAATTTTGATGTTAAAGTAGATACGTGTAATGCATCCTGTTTAATCAACAGCCAGAAAGGAACGCAAAGTTAAATACTTACTACCGTACAAGTACTTACTATTGATATATTCAAATTAATTTGAATCTTGAAACGGTCCCAAGTAGCAAGACCTGCCAGCTGTACGATAATTGTCCCTTCTCCAGTTGATCGATCATCGAAGTCATCTGAAGTGTACTAAAAGTCTAAAACCGTACTTATACTGACGTCGAATAAAAAGAATACAAAAATGCTCACAATACAAAGCCGCTCATTTCGCGCTTACGATTGACTTTCCCCGTCCGCCCGCGGTGCCTGGTTACTGGAACGGAAGTGCTCTTTTGTGGACGTACTGAGTAGTGAGTACTCGTAAAACGGCATAATAACAGTTTACTCGGTGGTAGTTTTTCAACTTGTTTTCTGAACAGGCAAAAACAGTTTAATTTGATTTTATATTTAATATTTATATCTTCCTTCAAAACAGCCACAGCTGTGATCGCTAGACCTCTTCTATTAATCGTTGTTTCTTTTGCGCACTTTTCTCATCACTGCAGTCGAATGATCCCATATTAAAATAAAATTTACCATTCTTGCCATTGGCAGTTTCCATTCTCGCGTCAGAAATGCCATGTGGCAGCTGGCGTAACTGCGGGACTGGTTCCTGATTTGTTCACTGGATCTTACGTCGCCTGACGCTGGGTCTTCCGTTGCCATCATGAAATCTGCAGGCCGTATTCAAAATCCACGCTCCTTAATCTCGCGTCGTCCATCCACCCCAAACCGAGGACCTGCAGAAACCAGGCGTCATCCTCAAATCCAAAGTGCGACAGCTCTGCCGTTCCTTATCGGGTACCTGTGCGAATGGGGATTCCGTAGAAGAATTGGAGGAACTTTTCTGGAATAATATCCTAAATCCGGGACACAGTACGGGGACGCAGGAGTCGGTGGATGCGGAGATGCTGATGGTGGATGGATTGCTGCGCTTTGGAGAAGCCTTCGCGGAACTCTTGACAACATCCTTGTCGAATGTGCTCGGTAATTATCCGCAGAAATTCACAAAGGAATTGTAATTTGAATTTTTTGCCATACTTTTCAGACCACCAAGAATTATAGGCTGATAATGAGCGTTTAAATTAAACGTTTTTAAATTTTTTTTAGTTTTTTTATTTGTATCTTTTGATTTACGTACACCTTCATAGTTATCGATTTTCTGGTTTACCAATTATTTAACTTTTTCTCTGTATAAGACACAGATCTATAAATATTTGTAAATATTCATAAGCATCATAGTATATTCATAGTAAGTATACGATGGTGTTCAATGACGAGAAATTGTAGGTTATGAAAATGGCAAGGATTTTCTGGTGTTTTTTTCCCTTCTGCGGAACTGGAATGCGGGTGGCGACTCGTCCGGGAAAAGACCGAGGACAACCTTCGTTGATGCATGCAATTACGAAAAGGTACAGAAAAATGCATTAAAAAATTTTTTGGTGTCGCCACGGCTGAGTGCGTTGTCTTTTTAACAGGCGTTCTGGAATATTCAGAAAGACCGACTGGATGGCGATTTTGCAGTATCCCCGAGAGGAATTTACGAACAACGATCTGAAATATTGTACGATTTAATTACTCTCGATTGCAGTACAAATAATGGATTTCCAGATCAATGGAAAGTCGTTTGTTTGATTGTCATTGCCAAGATTTGTTTTTAGAGTTTTTTTCGTTGTTATTGTTCTTTCTAAGATGTTTTGCTTTTTTTTAAATACGATTTTCGTTAAATGTGATTTATGGTTTTTGTTAATATGATTTTGTTAAATACCATTTTTGTTAAACGTAGATTTATGTTGTTTTATTAATACGTTTTTGGTTAAATACCTTTTTTGTTATATAGGATATTTTTAATATAGTTTTGTTAAATATGGTTTTTGCTTTTTCAGTGAAAATCTGAGAGAGATAAAACCAGAATATGAATCGCCTTCCATACCCGTACGAGCCCAGCCAACTGCGTCAGTTAAGAAAGCCGGCAGCGCCGAACAATATCAAGCGGTTTATTGGCGACTGTTTGTTTACACCGGAAGTTAATCGTTTTCACATTACTGCCTGCCAAGAAGGTTTCTCCGACACGGTGTGGCTGCTGACTGTTGGACAGTTCACTTCGGAAATAGGGAAATGTTTTAAGGGTCTTCCGTCGTCGATATTCGAACGGAATGCTGACAATGGCATGTTTCGGTAAAACAATGGCAATAAGCCAATAACAATTAAAAGCATATTAATAACATTAATGGCTATTTTAGACTGGTTTTATTTATGCGAGAATTCTAACTGTTTTTATCGAACGACAAGATTTTTTGTGGAAAAAAACCTCCCACAAAAACAGTTTAGAATAAATAAATTTTGTGGGAGGAAAATTGGTTTCCTGTAGTTGTTTAATTACAGTATCAGAACTGTCTTTAGGGCGATCCAGGGATTTTGCGTGGAAGGACTGTCCAAATCCGCCGTGGAAGGTGTCTGTAGTGATGCAGCGTATGGCGGAAGTGTAATATGGAAAGTGCGCTCGTTCTTGCAGTCTGCTGATGAACGCCAGCTGCGTGATGTGGGCAGCACTTTCCTCCAGTTTTGCTCGGCGGTGAGAACGTACCTAACAGCCTGGAGTTCCAATGTGGATTATAATCTAGCGGAAGTTCGGGGTGATCTACTCAGAACCTGTAATATTCTGCGACGCTTCAGCCGGCCTTTGGATTGTTTATTACAGGTAGAAATTCTTTCTGTGTAGCGACGTGACGCACATTTCGATGCCGTTGTGATTGATTTGTGAAATAATTGAATTTATGTTTTTCTTCGCCTATGAGTCGCGATTTGTTCTTTTAGAACTTTCACTGTATTCACGACGCACGCGCTTCAGTACTATCGATGAAACATTTGATTAATCAACCTCTTCAATATGATCTTGCATTTTTTCTTCTTTCTTTTAATCATAATTGGAAAATGGTAGCAAGCAAGTTTTTATGCCGGCAGTTTGCAGATTTTGCGTGGACGTTGTCTCGTAAAATTTTTGTTCTTTCGTATTTTCGCGTAAATTATATAATATAAATCAGCTTATCCCAAATGATTTGTTGTATTTTGCAGATCTGCTCTGAGGCGGGTTCGCTTGTGGATTCCCATGGACTGCCCAACTGCAGTTACGCCCTACTGCAGTACTTGTACGACTGTGCGGAAGACTGTCTGGAATCCGAACATCTTTTTCCGTTGGTTGTATTTCTCCTGGATGAAACGGCCAAACCGTTCGCCAACTTCGTTTCGAATTTGGCGCTGTATGGTCGGTACGATCGTTCATTGGGAGAATTTGGGATCCTGATCGACGATCAACGGGAAAAGAAATCGCCTGAAGTTTATGGCAGAATGAACTCTTCTCGACGGTAAAATCTGTTGGTTAGATAGTCGCGAAATGGGCTTTATACCCATCAGAAAACGTACAATACAATCTTGATACAGTGACACAATTACGATCTTGAAAAAAAGTAAAACTAGAAAATATGTATTCTTTAAATGAAGCGAGATTGCACTTGCATTTCAAAGACATTGCATTGTGAATTTTATGTTGCAGTTGTTATCATGCATTATCTACACAAATAAAACCGCGTTTCCTGCAAAGTTATTTGACTGTATTTGCTTAAGACTGTGTGTGACTATTTTAGGAAATAATCCCGACGTTCTTGTCAAAATTCTTGCTGGATGCGGCCACCAGCGGACGATGTTTGCATTTGATCGGCGCCATTGATCGTCTCCATCCCATACTGCCGAAAGAGGGAGCCGCTCCCATGTTCTGCATTTCTGCGGCGGCAGATGTAACATCCTATCGGGAAGTGCTAGAAAATTATGCAACTGGTGTTCGCCAGCGTATCATAGATAAAACTGGATATTTTCGTCCGGATCGAATGGGATCAGGTGCGTTGTGAAATCAGACCGGTACTTTCAAAATCTTATAAGAAGAATTTGTTCTTACAACAGAATGCAGCCTAAAGATGGATGGATTGGTATCGCAAATCAGTCAACAGAGCGGTGATTCATCCGCTTTCCAAAATAATCTGCAACGATGTCTCGGATCCTTCCGAGCGCTTCTGCGTAACGTGATTCTTCCCGTTTCCAGTATTCAGTAAGTTGCATGATCGAGATTTTGATTTGCAGTTTTTCGACGTTTAATGTAACTGGTGTTAAAAATTGAATTAGGTACTTATAATTTAAGTTGTACTTTTAGGATAATCTGCAGTCAGTAATTTTATTAATTCTTCGTTGCTTTATACTCAGGTGCATAATTTTGTGACTGAATTTGAATGGTGTGTTGTCTGCGTTTAGAACCGAGCTGGCTCAGTTTGCCCTGATGGATCTTTTCATTAATCAGCAAAATCTCCTGGATCATTTACGCATCCTCCACAATTATTTCTTCCTCACTGATGGAGCATTTTCCCTGGCATTCGTATCGGGTGTTTACCAAAGGGTACGAGTATATGTTGTGATCAGTTTTTAATTATTTTGTAAACTTCCTGTTTTTTGTTGCACATTCGATGCAGTATTCGATGATTGATTTTCACAATGTTTTCACAGGCTGCTAGATTCCCGTTGAGGCCCTGTTTGGACATAATCGCTTTTCTGGATATCTTCGAAAGCAGCCTAAATGTCTATGAGGAGAATCAGTCAGTTGGTTGGATGGCTCTTGCTAAGAAGACTCTGGCAGTGACGATACTGAGTGGATCAAGCAACGGCCAGGAAAGAATGCCGGCATCGTACGATATTGCTGATTATCTCTGTCTGCAATACGAGGTACGCTGTGCAGTGTGCATACACCAGTTGTACAGAAATTAACACAATTATACACCAAACTACACAATTACAGAGTATTACAGTTATTAGTTAAATTAGTATGATTTTCACTTTAGTTATTAGCGTTAATTTTAGTACATTCGTTTAGTAGTGTTTTTAATATTTTCTTTTTAGTATTTCAAAGAGCGACGGAAATGATTATAAACAAATTATGCATTGCATTATTAACATTTATTTCCATGCCGGTAGTTTTAAAATTCCCCGAGTTGATCCAACAAAGACGTATTGCGATTGCTTGTTCAGTATGTCAGATTCAAAAATATCTTAATTAAGTACATTTCGATTTGCTATGCCTTTTTCTGGTTGTGTGATGTGTCGCGAGTTTTTCTCAGTTTTGTGTTCAGACTGATACTAGTATAAATAAATCATGTTATGACTGTGTTTTTAATGTGCCTGTTTGTTCTGGTCAGATTCCATGGCCGGTCGGGATGCTGTTAACCAGCGCCGTTATGGAGCAAGCCAACGGAGTTTTACGCGACTCCTCCGTATTAAAGGCTGCATGTGGGTACTGCAGGACGCCTTCTCCATCCTGTCCGACGCCCGCTACGCCGATGACAACGAGTCACATCGGCAGCAGCTCAACATCTTCCGCCACAATATGGCGCAGGTTATCCGGGCACTGGACGAGTATTTCATGGAGAGTGTTACAGAGGAGGCATGGGCAGCACTGCAGTCCCGGTTGAACAATTGTCCACACTTTGATCGGCTCCGTGATGTTGTCCGTGAATATGTCCACAGTGTTCATGCGCGGTGAGTTACTAGGTTAATAAGACAGTACTTATGACAAAATAATTATTATTGTGGACAGTGATTATGACAGAATTAAGAAAATAAAACATGTTTCTTGTACGAGCGTGACTCAACGATCGTTTGATTCAATCTGACGATCTTACCGGAAGACGATGTGGCCGAGTGGTTAAGGCGTTGGTTATTTACGGTACGCAGACTTGAGGCGTATGTACAGCAAACTGTTCAAGCACCAATCTACTTCGGTAGGCGTGGAGTTCAAATCCCACCATCGTCAGTTTTTTTTATGCAGTAGTATCTTTTAGACCTCCGCTCATACATGCAAAGCCCGCGTCACTTGTCCAGATTGTCTACACAAATAAGTAGCAAATGCCAAATAGAGCAGTTAGATACTGCCATATTGAATTCGTTAAGGGCTGTTTTAGAGCACGGCCATCAGAGCAAAGCGTAAATATTGCTTATTTTGTTATTTCATGTCAATATTATTGAATTTTTACCGATTTGTTTACCATGTTTGTGTGGCTGCGATAAATAATCGCAGTGCGTGATGTTGCAGATGCTTCTTTCCCTCATCGAAAAAAGCGGCAAAATGCATTGCTTATATGGTGCAGTGTGTTCTGCGCTTTGTGCATCAGCTGCGCAGTGAACATTCCTTCGCCGAACTGTCCAGCACGTATCAGGATTTCAGGCTGGTGTCAAGTTGTTTCTAAATGGTGAGTTCCTGTAATCTAATCGATCTGATATTAATAATACTGAGTGACAATACACTGATATCAATTAATAATAATATGGATAATAATAATCTTATTATTAATTGCTAATAGTGTTAATAAATTATTGTTACTGGTACGGTTAAGAGCCGATGGATTTTCCTGCTTTATCATTTCGCAGTTTCTAGCTTAAAAAACTGGAATGCAGAATTGAAAGATAGGATAGCGGAGACTTCTAGAAAATAATATGCCGAGTTGTCTAAGTTTTTAATGCGTATTTCTGTGTTTCTTTGGTAGCGCTGTCTAAATCCACGGAATCACCAGCGCTCTTATGCTCCCGGTTAGATTTCTGTGGTTTCTATGAGACGATGCCTTTGCCGTGGGACATGGACAACACTTCGAAACGATTAAGTTGACTAGTGTTCTCTTCGTTCTCTTTGGGTGTCACATGTGTTTGTCGTCCAGTTATGTTCGTTAATTTTTTACTGACATTCCTTGTAGCTGGATTTTCGATTCTGGTGCTTTCGTTTTGTGATTTTCACTGTTTCCTCAGTTACTAATGAGCTGATAATGAAAATGCAAGCCATATTGCATAATGGTGAACCGTGTACAATATGACGTCGCAGAGTGTAAAGGCGGTTACGTTTTGCGGTGAAATGCTGTTTTCTTAGTTTGATTTCTATGCGTTGGGTGTGTATCGAGGGTACGTACCAGCGGCATCGAACAATAAACTTCCCTGCTGATCAGTGATTCATGGCCGTTAACGGCTTTAATTACTCTCGTAAAATCCAAAATCAAATCTGTCGGCTAATAAAGCACGAGGAGGGTGCGAGGGAAATCGACACACGGTTTGTTTCAACGAACTTAATTACCGGTGTCAGCGCCACTGGGTAGCAAAGATTCCATTGCACACATTTACCGCCATCAATCACCGCAGAATGCAACATATTCTGTCTTCACTTTCACTTATCAATGCATCGGTAACCGAAAATTATGCAGTGCGTGTGTTTTCTCATGGCAACATTCATGTGGGCAATTTTCGAGTTACAAATTTGCAACCGTTAGCCGGGGTGTTACGTTCGTGGTCGAGCGCCAAGCAAATCTTGACTTCCTGATAATTTCCGTGTTTGGTTCTTTTCGCACGCATGATCTGCTACGAAACTTGCATGTGTTAATACGATTGATCAGGTTTTGACCGGTTGGTTGCGGTGACACATCCATATTCTCGTCATTTTCCTGTAAAACTTGCTGTTTCTTACTAAAACGTTTGGAATTCTTATGGGTCCTTTTCTAACTTAGATGCGGCTGTTCTAACGCTATGTGCATGATGTGGAAATAATTATACTTAATATTTGTTTTTTTCCACCTCATTTGATAGCTGCAGGTATTTTCTTATCATATGTTTCTTTCTTGTTATTTCTTGTCGTGTTCTATTCAACTACTATCATCATCATAATACTTTTTTTCTGGTTCAGTTAAGAGCTGTTGATATTTTCTTATTTTGGTAAATTTTTTCATTGTTTGTTATTTTTTTGTCGGTCCGGATATGCGGGTACCCGGACGTGCTGCAAATAGTGCGGCGATCGCGTACGCTGTTGCTGTTATCTGTGGAGTATGCTTTCCCGTTAACGCTGGTCAACTATCCAAATCCGAACTCGAGATAGCTCAAAGTCGAGGAAATGTTGTCGATCCACTGGACCTCGTTTTGCCGCAGGTAATCAGTTACCCGGTTAACGCGCCGCTATCGTTCAAGTGTACTGTGTACCTGTAATGTGTCTCGACGACCTCTACCTTAACGTAATAATTGAGCTCTGCATAAGGCACTATCGCTGACTTCCAGAATAATACATAAGACACTTCCTTCCTTCCTCACAATTAAAAAACTTCTGAAGAAAAATCTTTTTAAAAGTTTTCTCAACGTCATTCACATTACGCTATTGCCATTTTGCGGTATCTGTACCGAAATTTGGAATTTCTGCTTTAAGTTATTTCTTGGCTCGAACATGGCACAAAAGACTCATTTGCTTGCAGACACAGGTCAACACTGGCCTACAGGGCGAATTCTTCTCCTTAACCAACGATCCCTGGGCTTTGAGCAGCACCTCCACCCATACCGTGGAGAATGCCCTGAAAAACGAGTCCGCATCGAACGTGACACGCATTCCAGGAGCGGTGATTAATCAGCCAATAATTCTACTAAACGACACCCGCAGGGCAGATGTCAATGCGTCGACCCAACCGGTTCACATCCGTTCCAATGTTACCGAGAACTCCACCTCCTTCCTTGGATACATTGATACCAAAGCATTTCTTGCCGATGACTCCAAAAAGGGAAAACCCACCGTTGAGACAACGCCGTATACAGTCATTACTAGTAACACTAGTAAGACAGCATCTGGCAACGGTTCCACGCCAGAAAATCGACCAATCACCAATGTCACGCAACTGCACAACCACGCGGTGGCGTTGAGAGTAACTGGACACAACAAGTCGGACAATGAGTCATCCGCGAACATCACGCAAACCTCAAACCAGACAGTCGTCATAAAGATGGCTGAAAAAAATGGGACAATTAGCGAGACCAGTGTGGCGATAGTGGCGCAAAATCGACCAATCATAAACGCTACACACCTACAAAATCAAACGGTTGCACTGGGTATCGCCTGGCAAAGCAAGTCGGATAATCGACCAATCATAAATGCCTCACAACAGCTGCAGAACCATACAGCCGCGGCCAACCTAACTGGACAAAATGCCACGCTTCGTCCGCATGATAATGCGACAAATATTCCGAAACCAGTGGTACAAAATCGGCCAATCACGAACGCTACACAGTTTCAGAATCAAACATCTCCCGTCCAAAATATTTCCGTTGTCGCTTCCGTGCCACTCAGAAACGAGACCGCCACGCCCCGATCTACTGCACCAAATCGATCAATGGCAAATACGACATTTTTACCAGCCAATGCGACAAAAGCGCCACGCCGCTATGCCACACGGTGTAAACCGGCCAAATGCAGGTTACCTAACTGCCGTTGCGGTAGCACGGAGATTCCGGGTGGACTGCCCGCGGATCAGACGCCCCAGATGATCCTTTTGACCTTTGATGACGCTGTGACACCGGCGACATTCGAAGACTACAAAGTGATCTTTGGGAAGAACTGGACGAATCCCAACGGGTGTCCCATTCGCGGCACGTTCTACGTAAGTGATGAGTGGACCAAGTACAATTTGGTCAAGACTCTGTATGACGATGGTCATGAAATTGCGTCGCACTCTATCAACCATCGCAATCCACCGGAAAATTCTACGATCGAGTTTTGGGAAAAGGAGATCAACGGACAAAAAGAGATTCTGAATAAGTCGGGACATGTGCCACTGGAAGCTATCCGCGGCATGCGCGCACCGTTTTTGCAGATTGGAGGTGACCTCCAATTCGAAATGCTGGCAGACAAAGGTAATAGCAATGACTAGATAACGAACTTTTTATTGCGTAATAGCACACGATTTTTTATTGCGTAATAGCACACGATTTTGTTGAATGAACTGATGTTTAATATCGTAACATGCAGTTTAGTTCCTTGTCCTAGGTTTTTTGTACGACAGTTCCATTATCACCAGCATCAGCAATCCGCCGATGTGGCCTTATACGCTGGACTACGCAGTGCCGCATATGTGCTTAATTCCACCCTGTCCCGTAAGGTCCTACCCCGGCCTGTGGGAAATGCCCATGGTGCAATGGGAGAGTGACCTTTGGAAGGTCCCCTGTGCCATGGTGGATACCTGCAGCCTTTTGGCGGCTCCCAGCGCCGTGGCAACATACGATCTGCTGATGAAGAACTTCAACCGGCATTTCAACAGCAACCGGGCTCCGTTCGGCATCTACATGCACGCCACGTGGTTCCTGCAGCGAGGCCGCTTGAAGGGGCTGCAAGATTTTTTGGGCGCGGTCATGCAGTACGATGACGTGTGGGTCATCACAACGTACCAAGCTCTCCAGGTACTGTGTATTTCGTATTTAGCTTATTTTGCTACCGAAAAAATGGCGAGTTGTCGATAATTTGGATACCAGCGCACAGTCGCCATCGGATTGGGATTTGGTGATTAATCCTTAGACCTTTACGGAGCCGCATGTAACAGTATTGCATACTGTTAAGTAAATTTTCCGCATTCTGTGTTGTAGTGGATTCAACATCCCACATCACTTTCCTCAATGGATACCAAAGAATTTCCGCCATGGAGCTGCAAACGATGATCCTTTCTCGTTATTTTGTTAGATCGTTCCTGTTGGTACTGTTGTTATCCGCTTTTTTTGGTGTGTTATTGCGTATCCTGTGATCCGCTCTGACTCTGAACCGGTGATGCGCCACGCAGTTCACGTTGTGATTAGCGTCCACAAAATTATGTTAATCCAAATTTGTAATCTTATATCACAATTTATGAGCACATCTTATATGAACTGTATGTCGTATCGACAAAAGCACAATGTTACTAGTTCTGTTATTAAAGATCGTTAAGATGCATGGAATAATGAGGATTATGATCATTTATTACTAATTTACTATGTGATGTGTGTACTAGCTCTGTACATACATATCATGACAGCTCTGCATGTTTGACTTCGATCTACAGTAAAAATGAGCTGCAAACCAATGTTTTCCGGACGATTTCATCATCTGCGCTTCCATTCATTCTAATAGTGTCCCCGGTTTCATCAAGGAACGCACACGTATACGGCTGTTTCCTTCGGTATGTAGTACAATTGTACATTCATCAATAATACTAATAACAACTCTTCTTCATTCCGATGACCTTTACACATTGTTCCATACTGCACCTATTACTCAGCAGCTGCGAAAATTAGTGGCGTTGATTTTTGAATACGATACATATATCTTGCATCTGTAACACCGAAAGTAAGTCCTTTTCAGCTAAAAAGCACCAAACAATATATGAGTGAAATACTGTACAAGTCAAATGAAACAATAATAACAACGTAACACCAAGCTTGCCATCTACACACTGAATTGATTCGTAATGCCTTAAGAAAAGCCTCTCAAGCTAGTTGATAATTGATAAAAAATATGTTTACCACGAAAAGGTCTATTGTATACGAATACACAGCATTTGTTGCTTTGTACAAAAGCATGGATGAACACGTGCAGATGTTATTCCATTTTATGGATGTCATAGCCTATGGGCAAGCATACCCTGCAAAAACAGTCTCAGTGAATCCGGACTTACCCACTGTCATAAAACACACAAAAATGTTTACCTTCCAGAGTTTCCTGCCTACGCTGTAAGACAAAAAGGCGAGTAGATACGCGAGAATACACAGACAAAAACGCCATCTTTACATTACAAGATTTTCAGTGTGCATATTATACAATGTGGCAAACACTAGAACGCTTCCCATATGTTCCGGTTTAGTGTTTACTTACCGTTCTTCGCGTCTTGTAAGTACTTTAACAACCGCATCCGTATCTTGTAGCGGTAGAAAAAGCGATTAGGAGGCGGATACTGTGACTACATAGCAATTATCCTGTCGACCCTGTGCGCGCCTATAGAAACTCACACCATTAGTGCAACCTGACGTATAACCGTTTCCGGCGCTCATCTGCCGGTTACCGTTAGACCGGCTTCCAGCCGGTACACTTACCGATCCCGGGCGCTCTTCTCGTCGACGTCGTATCACTGCGACTACGTATCCCAGTGACAAAGGAGAGAGCGTACATTTCCGCTGCTCTTCAGGTCGCTTCAGCATTCACTTGACTGCACTTAACGGGGTTACCTTAATAGCCTTTCTTGGCATTATCTCATTCACATGCCGGACGACCATTCGCTTTTTCGTCTAAACCGAGCGTTAACCACTTTACCTGAAGAAGCTAATGAAATGTACGATTTCTTCGTGGCGAACAATTCTTTCGTTCCATATTCGCACGGTGCTAAATTGTCGCAATCGGGATAAAATTTGCCGGTCAATGCTAAATCAGCTCGTTTTATAAGCGATACACGCGCACTATTTAGATAAAGTATTATAACATCTTCCCCTTCTTCACGCTGGCGACACCGGGGCTCAACAGTCTAAGTTTCCTGGAGAGACTGCACCCGGACATGAGCGGCAACATACTTATGTTGCCGGCAACGGCTGGCTCCAATTCTACCAAGGAACTCCTCGGGCATCTGGATGTCGATGTGCCGGGTTATTCCGGCTACCGGAATGTCTATGTTTTGGGCTTGTTCGGCATGGCAATCTGTGCTATACCGCTCAACTGCGCAGTGACCATCATTTTGGCGCAGCGGTGCTTCTGGCGCTCCAACGTCTACTTCCTGCTTTTCCAGGTCAGTGTCATCCAAAATGAACAACTGAATCTATAAAACTACTTTTTACTCTATTTTATCTTGAAGAAATCGTCATATACGTTCGTTACGGCAAATCGGCGAAGAATAATAAAATTCAGGCAGTACTTCTTTAATTCCGGAAACCTTTTCTAAATACTATCATCAACATTGGATATTATTTTTACGGAAGAAACTGGTAAAAGAAACCTTTTTTGTAATCCCAGATTAATACACAGTAGAGCGTACAGTGCATTTAATGATACCTGTGAAGAGGAACGAAAACGTGACGCATGGGTCGTATTCACGAGAATTAATTATGTGGCGCATTTTATCCGGCGTGCTGCATGGAGCACTGCATCCAGCTCATAATCCGTGTATTTATTAGCATAGCGGTTGTACCAGGAAGTTGCCGGCAGCTGTGGTCTAGCTGCTCAGGTCGCCAACAGACTGTGTTTAATGTGACGCACAATCAGAATCAAAAAGCGTGGATAATGAGATTGATTCATTTGAGAGACAGTGCTTAAGACCTGATACCGTAGGCTACAGTGAATATGATGGTTTCCTGGATTAACTGTAATTGTACTCGTTATTCACTTCATATCATAGTCTGTTTCTAATTTCTTCGACGTATTTTAATTACATATTTCTGGCTAAGGCGCTCAGGTGTGGATATTGCTTTGTCTGGTAAATCCGTATTTTTTTCGAAAACCGCGTTTACGACTATGCTTGCACAGCTAATTTAATCTTGGTATGCGCGTCATTTATTTCACGGTTTTGCGACCACAAATATGCTGTAATTATTTCTCTTTTCTTAAAAAGGTAAATATGACGGGACTTTGTGACTGATAGTGAAATCAATTTAGCGACAGGAAAACAGAGTCTGGATAACATTTGCGCATATTTTTCAGACCTACATACTGTAGATCTACATCACCAAGCGATCCATAAGGCATACCATATAAAGAGGCAGTGACCACTCATATTATATCGATTTTACGCGTTTTATTTTTTCAGTAGTGTCGTTATAGATGATTGATCGATTGGTGTAGTTTTTTAAATGGATTGATATAGTGCAGAGTTTCCATTGATTACTTGGTATCGCGGGACATTAGAAAAATTACACATGTCAAAAAGACGCTATTGTACAGATTTTTGTCATTTCTTTGGTAATTCCCTTCGCTCACTTGTCAATATAAAAAAGAAGCCATAAAAGTTTCTGTACAGAATTACAAGCGGTAGCTGATAACCTTTTAACGCCAACATATCAACAAACAAATAAGAATCAGCATATACAATAAGCAGAGGTAAAGGCGTTGTTACAATTTCATGTGATATTCTGAAAAGGAAAATCTTATCGTTGAATAATTGGTGTACAGTTTCAGCCGGACAATATAACCCCGCTCTTTAATAAATCATGAAAAACACCCAACAATGTGGTGCTACCTAGGTGGATTGATATTTCACACCGACAAACTCAGGAAATGATTAATCCATAAAGTGTAATAAACAGCATGCGCATGTTGTTCGCTATGCAGGCGGCTATTGTCTTCTGCCACGGCAAACATTATTCCTCTCACGTCATAAGCGGGTAATCTTAAGGGAATTTACTTATCATGGAAATAAAAAGTGGATTGTTGTGACGGATATCCCCTATTCACAAATTTGGTACACTCTGGCTGTCTCCATTGCCGTATTATGTGTATATAAAAGATGCATCAGGATTTAGAGCTCCGGTGTGATGGACGCGTGCGCACATATTGTGTGTATATGAGATACATTTACGTACCGTAGATACCCGTAAAAACGTTATGTAGATGTCCATTACACGGAGAAGTCATGCGGAAAGCAGCCAGATTTTCTTCCTTAACAAAACTCGTTTATAAAGGATAGAAAACAGGCAATGCGCCTGTCACAGGAGCCATAATCGACCGGATGTTGATTTCCTGCATGAGGCAACCGGTTGTTTTTCTTTTCCATACGATGCACAAACACAGTAAGTGCATCATTGTGCAGCAGTACCGCATTATACGGTCATTAGCGTCTCGTTTTGCGGTATTTAAGAAAGACAGTCTGGTTAACCGTTTCGAGTGCACTTTGTTCATGATGAATTATTCAACAAAGCCAATTGGGTGTTTCACGATTTTATCGAAATTTGACGGTGATAAATGGAAACGTGATGTTGACTTGTGGTATACGCATCACCCACGTGCCGCGGAGTGGCGCCTTTGACGGCTCTTCGGTTATTTTTGAATCAGATTGTTTATCGCAGAATTTAATTCCGATCGTGGATTTGCTAATGAAAGTAATGAACCAGGTGGTCCAAATATTCTCCAAGGTGCTTATAAACAACTCCTTTCAAGGCGGTGGTCATGCGGATTTCGTGGGAAAATTTTAAGACGATTCACAGTTTTGCAATTAAACAGAATTAAATTAATGCAAAAGCGTACGCACGTACCATACATAGCGATTCAATTCACGCACCTTCTTATTAACCATTAATTCAGCCTTGATGTTCTTCGCGTGACTCAACTAATTTGTGATAAGTGCGAGGTCGTCACTTTGCCTAGAATCATTAAGGAGAAATAAATTATGGTTTAGACTTATGGTGTATATGTAAAGGTCACTAAAGCCAGTAATCGCAGAGTACCGCCAATATGATTAATACCGCTCTGAGAAGGAAATTCAGCACGCGCGTGACCTTTCGCGCACAAACGAGCATTTATTGCTAAATGGGCAACACCCAATCGACGTAAAAACGTGCCTATCGTTTGATCTGGCTCGTTTCCCGGATAAAGACTCCCTTCTGCATAAATATTATTACGCTATCGCTTAATACTTAAAAATTGCCATTCTAATTTAATACTTGATCAGAGTTTGACGTAACGCAAAAATGCGAAAATCTGTAGTGCAGACAATGCAGAGGATTTCGGCGTAATAGTAGGCGAAACTATTACTGGTTTAAAATGTAATATTTGTATGTCGACCAAGTAAATTATATACGAAAACGTAAAGCAAAGTGATGTAAAAATGTCATCTTCTAAAATAAATTATATTATATTACATATATAATAAATTACTTATATATATTCTTTTAAAAATAAATAAATAAATTTCATAAAGCTACAAAACTAATAATGATTGCCATACTAATACTTGTAAAAATGCTAATGCTAATAAAAATGCCAATGCTTCTTGGGTTGGGTGAAAAATGAATCAAAAATGCTGCGCCGAACTGAATTTTTCTTTCGCATGATCGGATTACGTAATTGTCGACTATATTAAGAAATATACCGTAAGAGGATTCCCTGATTGCGCTACTCCGCTAAAATCGGCAACAATCCCACGCGAAGCCGCGCGTACACGTGTTATTTATTTACAGCTGGCCATCGCTGATCTGCTCGTGGCGGTGTTGTGCATGGTGGGCGATGCGATATGGAATATTACACTGCAGTGGCTGGCCGGCGATTTTCTTTGCCGGTTGTACAAATTTCTCCAGATGTTTAGGTAAGTTGACCCGTTGGCAATTTAATAAATATTACTTGTTTATTTGTTGGCTTCCGGTCGGCGCATGGGATCTGTGCTGCATCACATGACAGCGAAATACAGATATGTAGATCATCATTTTTTTATGGTTTTGTAGCTAATGTAGAAGATATACGTACCGATACATCCTAAATGTTATTTTATCGCTTTCGAGGAAAAATAAAAACAAAAATTGTGAATAAAATGTATCATAAAAAATACAAGTGAAAATATAATAATTATAATAATAATTTAATGTAATTACCCTGGGTTTGCAGCTTGTACGCCAGTACATTCACACTAACCGCAATCAGCATTGACCGCTGCATTGCCGTGCTGTTCCCGCTGAGCCGGTCCGGATCGCACCGGTCGCACAAGCGCATCAAATGTATGAGTGCCGCTGCGTGGGCCACGGCGGCCTTGTGTGCCACACCACAGGTAATCAATTTAGAGACACCTTCCCATTTTATCCTCCCGGTTCTACCGCCAGCCATTAAACCACAATGACAAGCACAATCATTTCCGGCCGAGCAAGCACCGATCAGGGACTATTTTTGGTCACAGTTTTTCTTATAATTATTATCTCCTGTCGCCATATGCTGCGCCGTGCGCTCGACCCTTTTAGACGTAACTGCAACAGCTCACGTAAACTTCGTCAAGCCTTTTCCTTCCGGCATAATATAAGTCTAACTGTTTCAACAAAGGCAGCAAATGTCTGTAATTTAGCTTCGGTGCGTTGATGAAAAACATGAAACCAGTACATGCACTTTGACCTTTTTAAAAAAGATGATCCACATGTTACTTTTAACGTAGAGTTCTAAAATTAAAGAACAGTAACGTAATAGAAACGAACGTTTCAATCTGGCACTGAATTCTCACAAAATTTCCACATTACATTTTAATTTTGAAAAGGCCACTTTGCGTAAGTGCAGTGCGCTGGGCGAAAATGTCCAAGCTATCTTCTTCCTGTAGCTGAATTTTAAGGTTCTGTTATCTGGACAAAGTTGATGCTTTACTTACCTGACAATAAATTGATCATCCTGTGGCGTTCCCTTTATAACGGGAAGGTCATATCTTTATGGTAATAGGCATACATCTTCCATACGGAAACTGCACCCTTTGACCCCGGCTTCCTCCAGTGTGTGACGCATGGGGCCTACACGGATAAATGGCAGGAAGTAGTGTACACGGCCTACACTGTGGCCATCATGTTCTTCGTGCCGGTATGCATTATGATCCTCTGTTATGTGGCCATATTCACCAGGATCACCAAAGAGTCACGCCTGGCGTCAGGTATTATTATTCAGTGGACATTTTTACTGGAACATGTACGTCCGGTGTGTCCTAAATAGGCTGGTTTACCCTTGTCTATGAAAAACGCTTTTATCAAGAAGCAGATTATGTGAGTATAGACCGTAGTTAAAAAAATAAGGCGGGTGTTTCTACACCGGTCTAAATGTAAGCGATTGCTCTGTAGCTTATGTTAAATTCCATAGTATGAAATATGAATGGCATGATTATATAGATATATAAATCATAATTATATAAGCAGAAAATCAATTATTTTAACAAATTTCGTATTGACATGATTGTAAGTATTCTTGAAATAAAGTTACGAAGACGCAATTAGAATTTTGAAAAAGCGAAAAAAATTGCGAAGACATGGTTACAGGGAAACCCGGAGCGACAATTCGAAGACCCTGAGCACAGAGCTTATGAGGAAAGATAATTTAATTACGTTACACCGAGGAAACAACAGATTTCGTTTATTCCGATATCCAACTAGTGGGCGTGCTAAGCTAGAGAACACCCGTATTTCTCGATTTCAATTGCGATGTTAAACAATAAGGACATAAATAATTACTTAATCTCATTGATCAGTTGCGCTTGAAGTCACAAAGCTGAATTTTGAGGTCCAAAACAATTGTACCACTCTGTACACTGACTGGTGAGCTGTGTTTGTTTTAAACATTTAACGTATAAAAAATCAAAAACAACACTGGATCCGCGTAACTTTTGGTTCGATAAGCAAGAATAATCATTTTCTAACTATATGTACAAGTAAGTAGATGCACTTGTTATTTTTACAAATTCTCGCACAATATTTTTACACCATTTTGCAAAGATTATAATTTATTGAGATCATAACATGTATTTATATGATCTCCACTATAATTACTATTACTTCCTTTCCTTCCGCCTGCATGAACTAACAGTAGTTTGTAGAAATGTGAAAACCGTGCATGGTTAACAGATTAACAACGGCTAATAAGAGCTTACATACCGCACGGTATGTAAAATGCATCAGGTTGTTTTCTGTGCTGCGTCCTTCGATTTGACATTGAATTTCAACGAATGCGATCCAGACCGGATGACTGAATTATGCACAGTGACCTATATTTATTCTTAAACAAGGAAGTCTCCAGCATAATCAAGTGATATTTGATCCCATGACCTTGATCTGTGCTGAAAAACCATATATGGGCACATTTACCTAATTGTAAGCGTTTACGCTATGATTAACTCGCCGTTATGTATTATTAAGCCGGTATCCTGGTCCAGGCGCTGATCCGTTTTTTCTGTTTGCATTTATCCAGGTCCCGGTGACGTGGAGTTTCCCTATCAGCAGCAGGCATGCGTCCGTCGCGCCCTGTACTCCGCTGCCCGCCGGCGGACCCTATGGATGACGCTCATGTTTGTTATCTGCTTCATTGTCTGTTGGGGTAAGCAGATCTGAGTGACCTTTTCACGCCCAGGATATGAACTTTGTCCGGTTGATAAACATGCCAGTATATGTTTACGTCTGCTAAAGGCTATGCACCGTGAAAATTTAATAAGTTTAGGTTGTTATTGCAGCGCCGTATTACGTCGGGATGTTCTGCTTCCTCCTGCAAATTAATATCGAAAACGAGCCGCTGAATATGATTTTCTGTTTCGGTAAGGTTTCTACAGAAGCATGCGGAGAATAGTGACATATTTGTTACGATTAATTAGCTGCTAATTTCTATTGCGTACAGAAGGGTGTGCCCCGGTGAACGGGGCTAATGATCAGCGTACTCCGTAACTACCTAATTAAATTTCTGACGGATTTGCTTATTAACATACCGTGCTGTCCATGCCACATGCTGCAGGCTGATAAACGGCAAACATTCTTTAATATACTTTTCCATGATTTTCCATTACTTCGACGAAGTGTTGTCTTTCGAAGTTGTGTTGCACAATGCCTATAAATGTTTCATAACGGCTTACATCACAGGATTGGTTTGCCGGTATTCAAATAAAATATTTATTAAGTATGTCGCTGTTTAATCGAGTTTTTAATAATTGCTTTACCTTATTGTTACAGCACAATTAGCGATTGTAGCTAGATGGGAAATTAGCTCTATATAAAATCCGCCGTTTATTATCGAATGATAGTGATAGTCCAGGGTCGTTATTTGTTTCGCACGTACGCTTTCCAGATCTAGAAGGAATGTTTCATTTTTTACTTTTTTAAGAACGTAATCAGGCAATCTCCAGAGGACTTTACAGTATTACGGGGTTTGTAATTGATAAAATACAATACCTTCACAAGAGCACTGAATAGATCAATTAAGGTGCGTAGGTTTTCCTTCGAATTCAGTTACGCTGATCTGAAAAGCGTTAGCTGAACTATTAATTCCTACTTACACAAAAACATCACCTTTATTTGCCGCTATGATTAGCGTATCGTACCGTTATTTATACAAGACACCCCTGAATTTCGCCGCTAAAATCGACGACACCTTGGTATTAAGCGTCCGTGAACTCTGCAGCTGACCTGTTTGTATGGCACATTTAGGTATGGGCAGTGTGATCCTCAATCCGGTGATCTACGGTGTGTTCAACTTTTGCCATATCGGTGGCAAACTGCCCGGCAGCAAGTTGGGCTCCGTGCGCTCCTCCAAGAAGGTCCGGTGTCAGGTGGTTAAGGGTCCGGTGGCCGTCGGTCTACGCAACATGAACATGTGCGCCGGCTACACCACCAGTCCGTACAAGTATGCCGGCGCCGAGGGCAGTCCACGCCTCATCATTACGTTCAAATCCCGGGCGCAGCGGGAGCAGCGGATGCGCTGATCGCAGGATGCTGGCAAGCGTGCATGATCATATTACGCCACATTCGGATACGACCACGATAAGCGCGCGACGGATGAACCGATATCGGAAATTAAACTTAATTGTACTTTTTTATTTTTTCTGTTTACAAGCCAATGAATTCTGTGAACTGCATAAATGTAATATACAAGTACTGCTTTCAAGTACTGCTTTCTAATAAAATTATCCATTGTGTACAGACCACTGACGTCGACCCTGGTATTATTAGCACAATGCTGACAGTTTTGATATACCTTTACATGCTGTTGTATGTGCTTCGGTGCTACTATAATGTGCGTTTAAATAACAGATCTATCGCCAATCTTTGCGGTTGACGCATGAAAGTAAGAGGAATTGCTATAACGTGAAATTTCTAAGAAAGCAATACCGCTACTTAACAAAACTTAGTAACCGCTTAATATCAGTATCACCGTAAAATGACCATACGTACTGTAAGTTTGCAATTGGGAATTTATTGTCGACACTTTCTTGGCGGCGCTTATGGGTGCATGCCAATGGAAGTTTGCATTTTTTGAAATTAATTACATTTTTTATATTATCATGGTACAAGTTATATAAAGAAATGCTTTAATGGGGTGATAAGAAAAGCAAAAATCTGTATATTATAAATGTCTCAGAAAAGGATCACCAATATATGCACTGCAACTGTGAAAAGAGCGATGTTCAGCCGGTAATCAATTATGACAACGTATAAAGAACCATCGCAAAATTGATGTGTAATACGAGAGCAGCCGGAAGATCAATAGCTGTAGATTCATCCTCCTTTCCGGCCGGTTTGTTAATTTGTTGCAAAGATTTTCAACATTATTTTTTCGTTTTAACCATTCAGTACAAGTACCCACTACCCACTATCCGGATCGTTGGGTTGTACACTCACATACGTACTCGTATTAAAGTAGTAAAACGGTTGCATAACCGTTTTTGAATTTGCATCGCTGATCAAGTGCTTTTTGATAGAGCCGGGCATTGTTGTACCAACATAAACCTGCCGGATTTTTGTTGGCCGCGTATAATGTTATAAGACCGTGTGCATCGTCGGGGCCGCAAGATAAATAAGCATTGTCTGACCCGATCGCAGCTGTTGCGCCGCAAGCCATCATCGAAGCCGAAACCCTGTCGAACTGGTGTGTGCAGTTCCGGCGTTCTGGAGAATATGGAGAAATATGAAATGTAAGATATATTTATATATACGGTGCACGTGTATGTGAGTCATCCAAGTTATAACCCGGTATTTTTATTACATCTTTCTCCTGCGTGTATAGTGTGGTAGATATGCTAAGTTGCCGAAAACTGTTCGGGTGCAAAACGGCAGACATACCACTTGCGCAACGGAACTGGTCCAAAAGCGTATCCAGGTTTCTTGTATGTTATAAGAAAAGGAAAGTCTATTTTCAACTTCATACATTGGGGCTGCAGCCACGCACAGCGCGCGCACGCGAAAATTTCTACCAAGGCCGGTTTTCCGTTGCAGCATAAAGGAACCCCACGTAATTCTGATCTGGTTTTTGTTGTCGGTGTACCGCTGCTGTTGCCAGCATCTTTTTACCGTTTACGATTCTTTTTAATTCCTACTACACCATGGAAATGGCTCAGAATATTATGGGTGCTCTGGCGCCCAACCAGCAGAACGCCGTCAAGTCCAACTGGTCGGAATTGCTCAATGTGTTCGGTGGGAATAAGGAAAATGTTGCAATGGAACTGGCCAAACAGTACGTTAAATAACAAGACGTTATATATTCCGTTTTCCGGGCCTTCTCACCGAAATCAGTGCCGAAATAACAGAATTTCGTATTTGTTAATTATACTTTGAATGCACTGCAACTTATACGTACATGCTCTTCCGGAGATATTAAGCAATCGAAAATATTGTTATCAAATATTATAATACTCTGTTAAATCATTTTGCTATAACAATTTTCATAATAGCTTATTATTGTACTCGTACAGTAGACTCGTTAATTTTTTATTTTGAGTGCGTAATAACTAATAATTATTATTCTGCTCTGGGTGGTATGCATATGTAGTAAGTACCGGTGATTACACGATTACATGAATGACAAACAGGAAAGGTACAACAGTCTTGGGATTGAATGCGGTAATTAATGGGAAACGTACTCTGGGTACTGCTGCAAATTTTGTCCGCAAGAGTCAGATCAATAATTTTATATTTTTCGAGCGCTGAACTAGTAGAACGTACTTGCTATTTTATTTGTTTATAATTTAATTTATTTCTTAAATTTGTGTCACTTTAATTAGTGTGCACGCAGGTATTTTTGTACGTGTATTGGCTTTACTGAATAAGACCGAGTACTCATTAGAATAAAAAGTCTGGAGCTTTTTGGCTATACACAAATATACGATTAATAGATTTTAAAGCTTCTTCAGGTACGCAGTCTACAAGTAAAGATTTTAAATTGTTCCTCAATCCTTTGGTTTGCAGAAAAGGTTTTTTTACAACTTCGGATTAAAATTTGCGCTCATAATAATTGCAGCACCGTTCAGGCCCAGTTGACCGGTGGTGGAGAAGGTGGTGGTTTGGGTGGTATTCTGAGTGGTGTCAAGGGTCTTTTCGGTAAGAAAAAAGATGACGGAGCAGCTGCGGCACCATCAAATCCCATGGACATCGTTAGGTACTGTTCTTAAACAAAATTTGATTTGTGTCATTAATTATACATAAATATATAAAGAAGAATAGTACTGAAATTTTGTTTTCAGTGAAAACAAAATTTCAGTACTATTCTTGGTATACCTGACGCTGATTGTTGTTCTATTTTCTTACAGCAAAGTTGCACCTTTAATAGGTAAGAAAGCACTTGCATATTTACATCATAGGTAATTGATGTTGTGGTTGCAGTGCATGTGTGGTTTGCTAATGTAAAAAATGCATTACTGACGATGCATTGCTACGGCTCGATCGGTAACATCAGCAGCGGAAATTAAGATTCTATCAAAGTACGGATGCAGCCGACTGCAATTAAATTAAATTTAGCAGAAAACGCTTAGCAGAATGGTGAAGAAGCATTTCATCTCCTCAAATTGCACGTTAAAAACCATTAGGAATAACTGCAATTACGCAACATTGACGTAAAATAATATCGATTGTTAGTTATTACACCATGAAAATACAGCTTTTCCTAATTTTGTGTACACGATATTGCCGATACTTGCGGTACTCTCGGTCCGGTGTAATATCGTATTACAAACGTATTAACAGTACTACGACACGGTACAATAGAAATTATACAATCATAATAATTATCCCGAATTATTACTTACTCGTACTGTACTTGTGCGAACTGATACCGTGCAGTACTTTACTACCGTGCAAGTGCAGTACATGGCGTGGCGCTAAGAGTCTCACGTGCAGCGATGAAACATTTCAAACTTTTGCCGGCTAGTGCACCGGGCTAGCTGTAACTCCACGATAGGGGGGCTTGGGTGGTGAACGGTGGAATGCGTAGGATCCATCTGAGGGGTCTAACTGAGATTAGGCTGTGCCTTAGCATGCTGATTGTTAACAAAGGCACTTCTGCGCAAGCGAAGTGTCTTGGTTGTTGAAGAGGGGTCCACCAGGCCAGGCAAGAGATTGAGCAACCGAAAGCCCCCGCAGTTTGCAGTGCTAAGATTACACGGACGTTCAGTAGGCGCCGCAGCCTGCGTACGAAACCGAACACCATCCTTTTTGCCTCTTGTACGAGTACGTAATGTTGACTGACTGAGTGCTGAGTCTATAATATTGACTGACAGTACTGACTCATTAGGGGCTGTTGTGCATTACTTACACTGCTAGGGCTAGAATAGCCAGAGTTCCAGTCCGTCGACATCCCTTTTTTTCCTTGTTTTTTCCAGAAAAAGTTGTTTTCCGCTGTCAACACATGATAAATACCATATACCAACTTAAAACTTTGAATACAATTACACAGACTAATATTTCAAAGTTTCGTACTTTTTATTAATGTGTTTAGTGTCCTCATGACAGTATACCGATCTTTGCGCACTGTGCTCATACTGATGTCGTCTTCTATTTTTTTACAGGAGGATTGGATAATCCCAGTAAGTGCAATATTTACAATATGACGCTATAATAAGAGCTCGAAATTTATCGATTGCTCAAAAAGATGCAAATTCGGTAGATCACAGCATTTGAATAATTTAGAAAAGCATAGAAGTACCGCATGCGCATTAGCTTGCTCGCTTCTAGTTAAATTTAACATTGACGGGATTCACGGCCAGATTCTTATTCTTATTTTCGTTGTAGATGCACTGCTTGGATTCTTTATGAAGGTAAAGAACCACATCCCTAATTTGCATATAACGCTTTTTATGCTAAAGAAATAAAAAGATTGCTGAGAATAATTGCCACTAATTGCAGAGACCTTTGAATTGCTTATTTATCATGTTTAGCATAGTTGTAGCTAAATCATAGAAAACAAAAGTTAGCGAAATTTGTTGAATCCGTTAACTGTACGATTCATGCTCTTTATGATTTTTGTTACAACAGGGCGCCCTTGGCGGTGGTCAAGCCGAGAATAAATCCGAAAATTCCATTTTCAAAGTGAGTTCACGGTGGTATTGCAACAAGGGCAATTTAGTTGGAAATAGTTTGGCACAAAACCGTCATGCATAAATTGCGATTATTTATAATGCAGCTGTCACATGGTTTACATTTAGACGCGTTATCCGTAATTACCGGCATTTTTCCAAGTCATGTATGCTGTAACAGTAGCAACCGCCATAAGCATGCCCGCATGGAAATGCTTTTGCAGATGCTCAAGCAGATTATTTTCGGCCTTCTTGGACAACATTTGCCGGCCCAGTCATTCGGTGCTAACCAAGAATCGCAGGGTGCCTGGACTAAATTCGCCCAACTGGCTGCCGGAGCCATCAAGAACCAGTCGTGGACGAAGTGATTTGCTAATTAGATACCGATACACTTTTACTTTTTGCTACTGGCGAAATTATCCTCCATTTGCTTTATTTTTTCATGACTTTTCACCGGCATGTTTACTGATGCTCCGCTTTACACGCACGCCAATCAATTTTTGCTGAGATTGTACTTACTTTTTACAACGTGTCGTTATCATTAGCTTGTACTAAGAGGACATAATACAGGCATAATAAACCGGCTTCAAGTGCGCTTAAAACTTCATGATTTAGTGGGAATTAAGTACTTACTCGTATGATCGTACCTGATTTGCATAAGCAAATAATATTGCCTTCACTTTTTCACGGACGATGTATATCACCTGCTTTACCACAAACTGGGGCTTAAATTTTTGCAGCAGTTTTTTATGTTCAAAGTTTAAATTCCTGAATTACTGGGCTTCTAACCAGCGCTTAACACCCGGTACTACTTGATAATTTCAAGAAACTGCAAAGCTCTCGTTTTCAGTACTCGTATAAACTAATCGCTAGAACTATTTATTAAAATTTAATTTCCGCAATCTCCATGGCGGAAAGTAAACAAAACTCTAATACCTGATTCGATTTTGTTACCAACGTTTCTGCTGATCTTCCATTCGAATTGGCAGCAAACGCTGCCAAAGCGCGCATTTATTCGCAGAATTTGAATTACGATATCGTAGTCTGATTTTCTCCTTGTATTGCGAACCGAGTAGTACACTTTCCGGTAACTACTGTTTTAAAACGAAAAACGATTGGCACGTGTAGAAAATGAACTTTCTCGCTAGCTAATTAGAAAGCGCTCGTTCGGCAAATGTTTAACAGTGGTTGGTAGACGAATCACGCTCCACTCTCATGTCTGACCCTCTTTGACAAAGCCTGTACAAGACTGCAGCAACAGCTACAACAATCGCTATCGCCAACTCCAGCGTCCTTGTCAGATAGAACTTTGCCTGCTTACAAAATCGTCGAACAAAGTTACGCTCCCACCTCCGCCGCTTGCACCAATCCGACGGCTCCGCAATGCATTGATGCTTTGTAGTGATTGCATCGAACCAAGTAACTTCGTTAACGTTGTATCGACTGTCGACTGCCGTAAACCATAATATTCCCAACACAACTGCAGCGCTCCTTACCATTAAAATCTTCCAATATCTCTAGTTGCACACCGCCGCGTTTATTATTAAAAAATATTTGGCATTCGCAAAGAGGCTCCACGTTGGCTTTGTTGTGTATTCTTTCGAAAATTCCCCCTTTCGACGATCAACACTGCACGAGATGGCATCCATACCGGCAGCCAGTTTTGTTGCTCCGCGAGTGCATGAGACGTTGGCACTGCACCAGCGCAAAAAGGACAAAGAAGAGCCGAGTCCGTGCCTGTCCAATCCGCACTTGGGTACGCACTTCGCACTACGCTATACTCGGCTAGTTAGAGCCATTGGTCACTTTAGACGCGCAGATATAATGCTTGTTTTACTGCCGTTGTACAGGCCAGTCATCCAATCACTTCACACCGGCTCTGGCGACCTATTTCGTGAAGAACGGCCAGATGTTCTCGCAAAGCATTCGCACAAACCCCGATGGCAGGTATGTACAGTACAACATTATTACATTTTGCATTATTGTTAAATTTTTTTTGTTTTCTGTTGATCATACTGGTAGTACGACGATAAAAGTCCATAACTATCGCTTGAGTTATCTTTATAAGTAATAATTTTGTCATAAATAATCACTTCGTCATTTTTGTTTATGGCATATACATACCGCATACGGTATAACGTAATGTACGTAAAACTTAATTATGTTGCTAAAGTAGCTGCGATTGCTATGTCTAATCTTGCCAGGTGTTTCTTTGTGGCCGTCAGTAACTGCACAGCGATAATTTATGTCATTCGATGACATCATGATCAGCGCGAAATTACAGTACTACTAAGCCTGAGAAAATTTATATTGCCAAAACAGAAGTACTGAGTTCTAAGGCAACGCCGCCAAATTGCACACATAAGAAGCTTGTGTTCAGTTTTATGTCTACAGCCATTTCCGGAGCTAGACATTTTCCAAAGATAAAACTTCCAATCGGCAGGGAAAATCTTTTACGGTATTTTTGTCGCTTGTTACAAGCGTCCATAACGCGACAGACACCAGTACCTAGTTAATAATGCAGCAGCGTGATATGCTTTATTCGCTATCCTGTGAATTCGCTAACTGGCAGCGGGATGGCATGGATGCACATCATGTGAGCAGCGAAGCCGAACTGCTGGATTCATAAGGTCAGGGACGGAGTTCCCTTCCATTGTTTGCAAGTGCGCAGCAGCCAATCGTGTGCAACGGCGTACAGTATCCGATAAGCAGCATAGCGTTACCGCTGCATGCGCCTGACAGATTCTGATTCAAGTCCAACGAATCGGGTGCAAATGTCAGGGACGTGGTCAGGGACAGTCTTTCCGGTGACGGCAGTGCCGCCAAATTGATTTTTTTAGCGCACTTTTTTCTAGCATAAACTTTGGACTCATATATTTTACACTAGGATCACTGCGTGTGGTTAGCGTCAATGGTTTTTCCATTTATGCATTTCTGTGTAATGTAACCTTTGTCGGGTTTTCTTATTTTGTCTGGACTTTATACTTCCTTAAAGGGCGAAAGGCGTAAACACCGTAACAAGACTACTACGCGCCCGACTCTATCGTTCACATCTGTAGAATGTTGCTGTCGCAATCGCAAAACACAGTACTCGTATGGTATTTGCCTGTCTACAAGCAAAAAGTAACGATTTCCACCGCAAGTTACAAACGCTTGCCTCCTCTTAAGAAATTCTTCCAGAGTTAAACGGATAAGTGACCCTTATCAGTTTAGTTAAACGGTTTAAAGCAAACTGGGTTCAAAGATCGTGTCGAGAATTGTGACTGCGAGTGACCTTTGAGTTTTGGATCAGATTTTGGATGGTAATCACTGTTCAGTAACCTTGCGGTGAAATCAAAGCCGTAAATCAAACATTTCGGTTTCCCAACTTTATATTACAGGAAATTAGCATTGAGCGATAATAATTTTGAGTACAAGTATGTCCTTATTATCTTTAACAACATCAGTAAAATTTTTACGGTGTGTTTAATCGACTTCTGTTTGCAGCACTTCTTGCTTTGCCCTACCGGTGGACAACCTGAGCAGTGTATGCGCACCCAGCGTTGTCATCCACTCTGACAAATTCGATCCAACCAAACTGACCCAGGCCGAACTGAAACCAGTACCGTCGCAATCATCACCGGGTGTGGGACCCCGCAAAGGATAGTGCCGTTCCTCTCTCTGTGATACAAAACCTATCTGACCGAAGTCCAGCTAATACAAAACAGCTGGATTTTCTCCATATATTGTACATTATATTACGCGAATATTCAGAAATTAATAATGTGTAGATGTTATTAATTCATATTTCATTGTATTTTTCACGTTGCTGTTTATTCTCCGGCAGCGCGTTACACACTTGGTCTGCACGAATCATGACGGATGTTGCATGTGCATTTTACTTGGCATGATCTATTGGTTATTGGTGTATTCAGGTTACAAAAATTTTTGAGTAAATGATCCAAAAATTATGTTGTTGTTGCGTTGCCCCGACACGCGTAGCCTGTTGCCTCCGGTTTCTCAATTTCGCGTGCGGACGATACAGTCTGTACAATCTTGTTATACATACTTGATTTGTGCAATAGAAAATAAAAGACTGCTCTGAAGTTCAATGTCGAAGGCGACATATGTAATTCAGTGATTTCAGTCAGTGCCCACATTTGTGTTTTAAATCTCCTTTTACGCACATAAGTATACTCTGTTACAGTACTAGTTTTTGCAATAATTTAGACTTACTTGCTATTTTGCATTTTGCGTATTTCTCGCATTCGGTCGTGACATTCACAACCCAGACAAAAAATGTTATACGATACAATAAGACACATTCAGTAAGCAAGCATCCAGCAGATGTTCTGGTGAAATGTGAAGTTAATGGTGACTGGCGCTGTTTACCGTTTCCATATTGTTTGTAATAAAAAAAGCGAGGGAATAGTCGCACACACATACTCAATCAAAACTATAAAAACGAACGCTGACTTTTGTCAAGAATGCTCACGCGGTACCGAATCTGTCCAGAATGTTCTTTAACCGCGTACTCCGGATTTGTTATTGTGTCTTTTGTTGTTCAGGTAAAATATAATCAGACAATATAATGACAATATGTAATGGAAATAATAAGGTACATTACTACATATGGCATAGAAGCTGCAGTAATGGCAGCATACGGACGTATACAATCCTTACCGGCTTATATAAGAACAACATTAATATGTGGACCAGATTGTCCAGTTCTATTACTGTATTCCATCGCACAAACAAATTAGTGTCAAAAATGTTGCTACTAGTAGCACTGCTTTCGTTTACGGTCGTCCAGGGGGAGCGCTTTTTGACCGCACGGGATAGCTTAAGGACAACGCGCCCGACTACGCTCTTGACAACACTGACCACAGCCAAGCCAGAAACCTCAACGATGCGGACAACGTCTCCAGCTATTCCCCGCACGGCACTATGCACACCGACCGAATTCCGCCGATTCGGACCAATCGGTCACTGTGCTGCCACCGACGAACTGGATGATAAGTGTTCCCATCAAGAGATCAGCTCATCTCTTGATTGCGAAGGAGTGACAGATGGAAGTTGGTGTTGCTACGGTAAAGTGACCTTTGTTACAGCAACGCCATAATTTTCTTATTTAATCATACAGAAGGGGATGTACTTTATACGATACCAGCGCTCACATAATTTCGCAGTGAATGACACATGAACGTATCGGCACGGTCTATTCCCTGTCAATTATTTTCTGATAATTACGTATGAATTCTTAACAAACCGAATCTTTTCCTGCGCCTCTCCCATTTCCGAGTTTCCTTCTAATCACAAGTCTGCAAGCTTACCAGACGTCTTGCATCAAAAAACTTTACCCAAAGTACTTAACTAACTCTGTAACCGCATGCATTTTACCATCTAGTGCGCAGCTTGATATCAGGCGAACTTTAATTTGTAACCCATACAGAATGCATTCCTGTTTGTTAACTTGTAGATGTTCCCATTCGCAAGAAGCAGTTATTTCAGAATGTCGCCATGGCCACCTATAACACTCCTGCTGCACCTGACACATGCGATCCCACACCGGCCGACCAACTGGGTCCCTACTACGCCAACGGTGCACCGGTGATCCGGATGACGGAAAGCAGACGCTGATGTACTGTCCCAACAGTTTCCAGGATGATCGAATAATCCTCAGCGGAACGGTGCGCTTCCGTCAAGCGGGCTTTCCCTGTGGTCGAGCGGGACGCGCCATGTTAGATTTGTGGCAAGCTAACCCCAGCGGATTGTACAGTGTTATCCCCGTAGAGCTGCAGAGCTCCCATCCCGGTACGGAAACCTACGAAACGTACATTAGCGCAAATTTAGTCAACACTAGATTATGAAAGGAACTGTCTGCACGTTTCAGTGCTGTTTGAATTACCCGGAAATTTCACCCTGGAAACCAATGCCACCGGGCCGTACGATCCACACTGGGTAAGGTCAACCAGTGCTATGCAAGAGGCAGTTTATTTTTCTAAAACAAACACTTCATTGTTGCACCTGTATTTCTATTTAATTAACCACGTTTAATTTTTATTATAATTCATAGGCATGCCGATTGAAGATCATTACCGGGGACGATGGCTACTATTCGCTGTCCAGTGTTGTTCCAGGTCGTTATCAAGCGTTCGAAGGGTGGCGTCCAGCGCACATTCACTTTAGGGTCACGCCACTCGACGCCTACGACCGACCGTTGAATGATACCTTTACTACGCAGATTTACTTCTATCACGGTACAACCTAGGGGCATACTAAGCAGGAAATCATAAACCAAGCTACACTTCCTCCGACTCCATTGGTTACATAATACGAGTATATTGTAACTGACCATCAAAGAAAATTAATAATAACCTGAAAAGCAGTAACAAACCGCCGGAATACCATTATGCATATCAGCATGCATAATTGTACTCCGTATATTTCACGGCACATACGTGTATTGCGCTCGTGTCGCAATTAATATCATATAAATACCGGTAATTTATCTAATTTTGCGCAATAATAATTATTGCGCGAAATTGAATAAAATAATTATGATTTTTTGTCGATTTGGCAAGTTTAGTTGTGAGTAACTGTACTACTGAGAACGTATCAACTGGATGCAAATGAGGTATTCAGATTCTGCCCAGTATTAACCAAATTTTAGTTATGGAAACCTTTACCACTATTACATTGCGCAGAATCTACCGTATATCGGTTTTTGTCAATTTGCAGATATGTTTAACAGTCCCAACGACCCTTGCCCGCCACCCGGGTGCAAAAGTGGCGATCCACGAGTGACCGTCTTTTACTCACATGATGACGACTTTAAGACATTCATTGGCAGACAAGACTTCCTAATTTAAATGATTATGTTTTCGCTGTATCTTGGTCGTTGTGATATTTGCTTTATACAAATATTCCCCAGTGTGAATATCAATGATAGTTCAGAATCCAATAAATTAAACATATACGTACTTGAAATTGTTTTTTGTAATCAAATTACTCATTATAATCGAAAATCCTTTGAGAATTGGTGGAGCATGTTAAATTTGCGTCAATTGTGAGTGTAAGTGGGGTGCGCGAGGGTTTAAGTAGCTGATTAATGCAGAATGTGCATTAATCATTTTTTCTGTAATTGGGAAATGGGCTCTGCCATTTTCAAAGCCCCGACTGCGAAGTGGGGTCGCAATCGTAAAGCCGCTTGAATGAATCATAATTAAACGGGCCGCGTTCACCGTGGCGTCAGCAATGAAACACTACTGGATAAGATCTCGCGCGGGACTTATTTGTAGCGAACTTGGAGACTGCGAAATTCGTCTTATTTATACGAATGCATGAACGAAATTTCACTTCATAACCGAGAAGCTTTATATACGCACTTCTAATTTTTATAAAATTTTTATGTGTCCCTACGAAAACTAGACCAGGGCTCAATGATCAGTCAATTTGTTTACGTATTATGAAGCGTGTCAATACTCTAAAATGGTACCTACCCGAGTAGACAATAATAATGGTGAACTATCAGGATCGTAGCACGGCGTTTTACCGGCGATCGTAAAACGTATTTATTATAAGATCTTTTACACCGCGAATTCAGCATCTGGAAAATTAACGCTATATTGGAAAGCTCATATCAATCATCAGCCGCATATATTGCGGCTTATATACTGTAGATTTACGGAAGCTGGATTGGGACATATCAACCTTTGTCCTGCAAGTAAGTGTATTGTACAATATACAATACAAGTACCTCAGTGCCTGGTCGTTTTCCAGCACTGCAATGCAAATTTACCTTTACATATCTTTACATATATAATCCTTTCCCTGATGTATAAGTAAGTTTAATGCCTAACGGTATCATTTACAAGAAATAGATCGAGGGGTTATTAATGGTAATTAATTTGAACATCAGCATGGTGCAAGGCATTAATAAATTATAGTTATGACGATTCATGCATATGATTGCGGAAAATGTTAGGCATATAATACAAAAATTGTAATCACTACTTAATTTACGCTTTGTTAATCATAAGTACGGTATCGATTCTAGATCTGTTGTACCGTAGGTATATACATAAGGTCACCAGTAATTACTGATCGGGAAGGAAGTAATTTTATGATAACATTTTTGTATCCCCTTAAAGTTTTTCACAATAATTAAATTCCTGCGATCAAGGAAGCTCGATGTACACATGCATGTGCAGTAATATTTTCGATTCTGCGGTACGTGTAGCTGGCAGCAGCATACCGTATTAACTTGTAAATTATTAATAGTAGAAAGCTCTATTTACCGACTTTGAGTTTGGTAGTGCAAAATAATATGGGTCGGGTTTAATCAGTTTATGGTCCTGTCAAATATGCGAGTAAACACATGTCAACAGTTGTGAAAACTGACGATCTTGAGTCTTGACAACATCCAAAAACAAACAAAACATTCTGGCGGTGATATCGTGATAGGGAGCCGAAATTACATTTTTCTTCAAATATATTTACCGGATAGCATGGGAACACATCAGTTTTACAAGACAAGCATATGTCAGTGCTGCAGTGCATACCGACAATTTGCAGCCGAAATAAAGAAACTTTGTAATTATGTATTTTGGGAACGAGTGGAGAAAGTCCGGTATCTGTATATCTATAACTCCATTTACATTTTAATTCGTCAGCGAATTACGTTATATTAGAGAAACAGATAAATCTCTGGCATTCGGTAAATTCCGGCAAGTTGATTCTGGATTTTCATGTGGTGTCGTCACCTCCCAGTTTGTTAGCTGTGAAAGCCGGAAGAGGTCAAAACTCAAATAGCCGCAGACCATGATTTTGATACAGGTTTATCTATCAGTCTACTGTGCGCTGACGTCGAAGCCACATTTAATTTCGCTGAAAATTCTAGTTATTTTTAATTTTATATCAGAAATAATCTATAGCAAGCAAACATCGTATTTTTCCAACAAATTCTGTTGTTGTCGTGCGGATCATGAGCGTAGGATTTGATTTTGAAAGTCACGACATCGGATCCGTGGGATAGCATTTCCCTGTAGGTGTACAATACACCAGCCATGAGACAGCAACCTTCTGTTGCCCTGCAGTCCATTAATTTTGTATTTTGCATAGATTCCTTCGCATCTTTCTTCCTGACGTATTTTCTCCTTGTTTGCGTTTCCACTCCATAGCGCTTCAACATTTCGCTGTGAACTTTTCCCAAGCAGTGAAAAATTTGTACTAATGTTCCCTGTGCTTCGGCACGTATCGTATTTCCCACCACCATCACACACAGTACACACAGACGCAAATCAATAGAACAGCACGCAGAGAGTGGCATATGAATCACATACAGTACTCCGTCTGTGCGCAGTCAGTCCGTTGTCTCTCTAGTCTGTTGTATCGCGCTGTTCTGTCCGGATTCCGCCAGTAGCTGTCCGCGTAGTGTCGTTTTTCGGTTGATCTCCGTCTCCGCTTCCGTCGCCTGTAGCACAGGCTTCCAGGGTTCTCCTTCAAATTGTGATTAGTATTTTTAGATTCAGAAAAGATCCGCGCATTCTCTGGCAGTATGAGTGTTGCGCGGTGGTCGGTCATGTGTGATTGAAAAATCTCCGCAGATCCTTGTCTTTCCACGACGACAAATGGCACGCGACGTTGGTTGATCTGTGTCTGATTGTAGCAACTTCCTTGCAGGGTTGCATAATTTTCTGGAGATCTTTCGCGCGGTTGGCACGGGCCAATGGACCTGCAGAATTTCGTGCAGAATTATCGTCGAAAGGTGAGTTACACTCTTTGCCATTTGGCGTTCGCTTGCAATAAAAACTTAAAAATTAATGAAGAAAAATAAACAGACAATTTGCTGCCAATTTTTATCAACATCACTATCTTCTGTTTTGGTAGAAATCAGGGGATTAAATTTTTGTCTTTTAAATCTCTACCGGTATGCTCCTCTAAATAATTATAATTTTTTTATTCGCAGCTCGGCTCATTCGAGAGAGAACCATGGGAACCTTCTTCGGAGATGTCCGCGCAGAGAAAAAAGGTTCGAAAAAACTACATGAATAAGCAGTTCATTGGCACGACGCACGTAACTACAAATTACCTTATTCGTTGGCAGAAATTGGCACTTAAAACGCTTTCTCTTTTCCTGCATTATGCATACGATCTAATGTGACGTTGCTCTCGACAAATACGTATGAAGCTATGAATAATTTCTGGAAGTGCATCGTAATGGTATGATTTATTGAACCATCGTTTCTGCAGTTTTCAAATTTTTCACGGTAAAAATAAATTTTGGAACATTTTTGTACTGTATTTTTTTATTTTTTGGGTTGTTGGCAAATTTTGAAGTTATGATTAGTTATCAGATTTATTTTCACGAATGAATAGCTTAAAATAGTGATTTTCAAACCTTTCTTCGCATTTATAATTTTTTTCCGAATGTGTTTGATCATCCGCAAGAAATCTGGTGCTATTTTTTTTGCTGTGGCCGATGGAATGATTAGCGATTGCGTAATTGGCTCGTTTGTTATCGCGTGAATGCGCTGATGATTTGATTTGAAGCCCTTCGGAATGTGATTACCGATAATTGATTGTGCCTGTATGCCATGCGTCAAGTCCATCTATTTCTAACCTAATTTCCAGCTATTACTTTATCAGTCAGGCGAAAATCGCGTGTATCACCGCTGCGCGCACCCTCATTAAATTCTCAGTCGATTTGGCTTTTCCAGGCGTTCGCGTAATGATCAATTATCTTCCCGAAAAACTCCGGAAATTATTTGCTTATACTCTCCAGTACTTTTTATAAAATAGCGCTCGCAGCTGATATTAATTTTACACAACGTTTCTCGTCATTCTAAGATATTTTAATGCGATTATTAGTCAAGCATGATCAGGTCATTGCATCGACGGAATTCGTTAACGCATCCCTGTTTACAGTCCCTGGCGGACATTCCCAAGCGGCCGACGAAGCTGAAGCTGGAGCTGATCGATGTGGATCTGGTGCGAGGTGAGTGGAAGCGCCTATACAGGATAATTCGCTCTCCATTTGCAGTTTTTGTTCAAGGTTGAGAAGCATCCTGCGTGATAGATGATATTTGCGTGATGTAGTGCCGTTGATACTCAAGTTGACGATTGAAAGGATTATGGTGTTGAATGTCAGGTTGAAACATAGATTTTTCTCCCTCTCACTCCGGCTGAGATAGGCTGCTTTTAGCTCATCGATTTCACACAGCGCGCGCGCTGGCTCGTCGCAGAAAATGCATCTAATGTACAACGACCTTGAGCTTGACTTTTCTAACATTCGACATCGATCCGCCTTCCGGTGGTGGCATTTGCTGCGGTTTTTGGCGAATGTTTTTTTAGTTTCGACCGACAAAATCATTTCCCCATATTTGAAAAAATGATGGTTTTGAAAAAGAAATGAGTTTCCTAACTGCCATTCTTGCCGCATTATTGACCAATACTGAAGATTTATTTTGGCACTTCATAAATTTCACGAAAAAAAGTATTTTCACAATTTTCTGATTTCTTTTTACTTTTTTAAAAAGTTACTCGGCGAAGCAGGTTTCCAGTTTTGTGTACAGTCAAGTTTGTAACACAAATTTTCCCATCCAAATATTTGAATTTATCATCGCAGATAGTGTACCACTGTACAGTATGTGTGTTCTCGCAGCGGGGTGACCAAAAAACCAGTTTATGCTTCAGCTTCACTAATAGTCTCAAATAGTTGAGTCCATCGGGAGCGGAGGAAATTACTGGATGTTGGTTTTCTTATTAGACAGTAAAATCACTTATACAACGATCGGAAAAATTACAACCTCATTAAATCATTGTAGGCTCGACATTTTCCAAGAAAAAGCCGCACCTCCCGTGGACGTTCTTCAGTCGGGAGTCGTTCCTCCGTGTGCTGTTTTTACCCTGGCACGCTCAGTGGTGGAAGAAGCAGGCCTCGCCCACGGTGTTCCCCGTGGTACTCAGTCTGTACTTCCTGCAGCTACTCTCCCTCATCATCTACGCCAGCCATACTCTCACCGGCGACACGGACTTCCTCTCCGGCTGTGACACGCTCACGGCCATTGTCCTCGTCTTCATCATCGCGGAAATACTCACGCAGGCCGAACGCCATGACACACCTAACGCTTTTGATCTCCCGGATGACACCGCGGGTGTGCTGGACGATCTGACGTCCGTGTCGGATCACTCCCTGCATGTGGAGGAGCAGCGGCCGTCACGCAGCGGGAAGACACGGCGCAAAGTCCTCGTTAAGAAGAAATCCAGCGCCACGCACCGGCGCACATCGGAGCTCGCGTTTAAACCGTTCGAACCCTTCGAGATCAATAGTGAGAAGAAGGATTCGGAAGATATTGGATCGGATTCGGAATTGTCGGTTAATGGGATCAATAAAACCGGGCAGGTGGTGAAATCCTCACCGTCCGATGGGTTTGATTTCGGGGAAAAGGAAGGCGAGACCACCGATTCGGGTTTAGCCGCGGCGACGGATGAAGACCGACGGAAGAGTCTGTCCGTGGTGGATGACGACGCGGATTTGTGGAAGAATCAGACCGTACGGCATTCCCGCTCGGAGATCGTGCGAACGACGGACTCCGACAAGGATACCACGGATGAATCGGCGCGCTCCTCCTGCGCTTCATCCTGCAGTTCGCCGTTCGATGATTGTCTCTTCTCCGGTTCGGATGACGACGGACAGGAGTCCACCCATTTCGCCGAGCGTTTCCGGAAATCTCCGAGCACGCCCAGTCAGGAAGCGCTGATCGGGTGCACCATGTGGGAAGGGCGTACCGCGCACAAAGCCGATCTGTCCATGTATGAGATTACCAATTGTGTCGTCAAGCAAGCGGAATCCGCGCCGGTGACCATCCATCCGATGATTTTGGCCGTGGTGCCCATCGCGTTTGCCCTGCTGCCGGCGGCGCATGGGATCTTTCGCGAGGTGCATGTGATGAAGAGTCATCCGGATTGGCGGGGATTGGTGGGCGGGTCTGCAGGGGAATGTGACGCTGGGCGATGTGGGGGTGATTGTCGTCAAGGTCAACGGGATCGGTGCAGCGGTGTTTTTGGGGATTCTGGTTCTTTCTGCTGCTGGCGGTGGCACTGGAGACGTTCCACCAGCGCTGTTGGATCGCCAAGTATTTCGGCTATCTGACGTCGATGCGGCGGGCTCGGCGCGTGGGATTACCGCACTTCCGGTTGAATAAAGTGCGCAATGTGAAGACCTGGCTGTGTGTGCGCTCGTGCCTGAAGGTGAGCTTGAAGGATTCACATTTTCGATTTATTTTGGGGTTTTTTTTGTAAATTTTCGGTTTAGTATTTTTTTATTACAGATTTGTATTCAGTTAAATCTTTATTTTTAATTATGGTGAATGTTTCGTAGAAATACGGTCCACGAAAATCGGTGGACGTGGCGGTATCATTTTCCTTCATGTCCTGCCTGGTCTGCGTCATCTTCACCTGTATTATGCTAGTCAACGCGGAGGATCAGTTCATTCACAGTATTTACGTATGGGAATCCATGTTGTGGCTGCTGGCCGTCGGATTGTTCCTCCTGCGCTTCATGGTGCTCGGCTCGAAAACCAATCAGAAATTCCGCAACTCCACCGTCCTCACCACTGAACAGGTGCGCTAGTGCGAAGCCATTTTAGGCGGATCTGCGCATGCTTTTGCGTGTCACTAACCTTTGTTTATTGGTTTCCAGATGAATCTGTATCTGCGAATGGATCACAAACCGCAGAAAAAAGATGAACTCATGCTGGTGAACAATGTTCTGAAATTAGCGGCGGAATTAATTAAAGTGAGTGCGCATGGGACGATGTGTTCAGCCGTCGTTTCTTCACCACTACGCTACGGTTTTTCCACTACTAACGTCGTTACGGCTGCATTTTTAAGCTCACTTACAAAGTCAAAGTAATTATTGTACACTCTGAAATGCTTTTTTAGGAGAAGTTATATAGTAAAAAAGGCCGTCATCTTGTAAAATTGATAATGAATTATTTATGATAATTATTATATTTTAATTCTGTTCGTCATCCTCTTTGAGGAGATTTATTATTTTTTACCGTAAATTTTAAATAAAAATCCAAATTCTAAGGCATAAATGAATAATGGTCCATTGCAGTCAACAATATCTAATGCATTGCTGATGAATCGGTAATCCGGCGTGAGCGCTGCGTACCTAGTTCCCTTTTGAACAATATCACGTGCTATTCTCTTTAAAATGGATGAATTGGAACAGTGTTTTTGTGCACTTGCAGGATATCGAGAGCCCATGCCGAATCTCGGGCTTACCGGCTAATCCGTACCTGTACAATGTCTCTCGCCTCCTGATCTTATCCGCCTTCTCAACCCTAATCTCGGAAATGTTTGGGATCAAGATCAGTTTGTATAAACTGAACAAGATGTGATGGAGGGAAGGGGCAGGACGCGCGCTGTCGGCGGATGACAGTGTGATGTAATGGGGGACTGGGAAGATGGGGTGTTGCGTTTTACTCGTTCTTTTACCAAAAAACTCCGGTGCATGTTGTGGTATTAACTTGATTCTCTTTTTCTTTCAAGTGTTTTACAAAGCTTTAACTTATTATGGCACTGACCTAACTGATGTGCTGCGTGTGTACGATATAATAATTTGTTTATATTAATTTTACGTTTGATTGCAATGGCGTGTATTTAGTGTAATTATTTGGCTGTGTAATATTACTTGAGCAATGCAAATGCTTGGTGCTGGCAACTTACAGCAAAGAAAAAAAGGAGTATGTACTGCATAATTCTGCCGAACCCGATTGTATCAATTTTATTAATGAGGTAATAAAATCACTGGAACGATCTGATGCAGCCGCAAGTCGAATTCGAGGAATTTTAATTTGTCGTAATTCCATAAGGAAAAACTTTTGCCTAATTCATTTTCAGTCTTCTGTTTTACCCGGTTTACCTTTTTCTGAATATGTACAAAAAACTCGTGCAAAAGACAAGTAAACTAGATGCTATCGGGCTACCGCTACAAAACGCAGTGCAACATGAAACAAAACGGACAAAACGGTTATTTACAAATTTACAATAAAAGAAAGACGATTTATCGTCAAAATCGGATAGTATCACCAAATCGAGCCTTTTCTGGCACAAAATAATCATCCGCCTCGAAATCCTCGCCGTCTAAAGCCTTCCTCTGATAACGCTTTAAACGACCAAACCGATACAACGGCCAAATCTGAAGAGCACGCAAAACAATCCTCAGTAAAATCAGGCAGACTACAAAATAACATAAAATGCTACAATACGGCATAAAATTTACTCGTATTATTATCCATCACGTTACGAATTCTGTATATTGTTACTGTCCTAAATCCGGAAATCCCTTATCATAAGGGATTCTCAAAAGGCCTTATGAGAAAGCATCACAGCCGGAAAGTAGCGTGTTTAATAATACAATCAGCATATCGGAATACTATCGATATACGAGTAAGAATTACAAATGCAAATAATGTACTACGTGGTGTTTTCTTTCCATACCCGTAAGAAAATTTTGGACAAAATCAAGCCTTCCGGGACAGGTCCTACAAATTAGAACGCATTAATTGTGGTGACACAGTGGTAAATAAATGAGAAGTCGACAATGAATGTGCTCATTGTACTGTATAAAACATAATCACGAATACCCACCGTAATGACGAGAATCGAGACTATCGGAAGGTTTATCGCCTTCCAACCAAACATGTCCACGAGGCACCTGCAAACGCACATAACGTGTGAACGAAAATGCATCCCGATTCCCGATCACAGATGCAGGAATTAGGCCAAGACGATGCATACGGCACAAAGTTTGGAAAGACTTCACGACTCAATACGAACAATAAAAATTCCACATCCGATTTCCAGCCGGTAATAGCCCGGTATTACAGCACTTACTTTGACCGGTTGATAATGCTCATCGTACACGAGATCTCCGTGTTTAGCGAGGATCCGCTTGCACACGATGGTCGTGGATCCACGGGAGACCGGGCAATCACCGCATCACCCCTGCAGACGGAAATGCGCGTTCAAATTAACCGTGAAACCCGAAATACAAAGCCGCATACTGTTTACTTTTTTAAAAACAATGACGCACCAATAACAAAATCACAGTGCGCGAAATAGTAAACAAATATAGCAAAAAAATCAGAAAAATTAGAAAATAAAAAATCAACCCGCAAAAAAATCGGAAAACAAAAATGAAACTGCGAATTAATACCCGAGTAATTTCTTGCCAAAGCACGGCTCCCACAAAATTGTGCAGTCACTAAAAATCTTGGATTAACTGATGAACATTATCATGCCATAAAAAATTCAAACATCAATAATAAATTATTGGATAAAGGCAGTAATGCACAGTTGAAAATTGTGAATAAAAGTATTTGTTATTAACAGGCAGTTTTGAGCTGTATTTTATTCTGTAGAACGTCCTGTCATCCGTACCTTCGCAAGTGCCCGAAGAGCTGTGTGAAATGCTCCGTAAGGACGATGTCATGAGAATAAATCGTGGGCTCCATGGATTCTCCAATACACTGCAAGGCACATCCAACAACTTTGCTATATTTTCTTTCCAGATAAATTAAATTTAACAGGCTGTCAGTTACACGAAATCCCAGTAACATATATACACATATCAGTCATCAGTGACATATGCACACAGACTGGACTTTATCAACGTCAGATTTTCCATTTCTGAATGGCTACGATGCACCAGCAGCGATTACTGTACCATATATCCATCCACACAGTACGTGTTGATGCAGTAGATGATGCAGGTCCATTTGAAGAGCTTCACGGACCATCGACCAGCTTTCCGTAGGACAGAAGCAAACGGAGACGGCACACTGATGCCAGCACTCAATAAGGGAATGCGGTGCGGGGTGGAGAAAAGATGGATGAGTTTTCTCATCGTTTCATTGACGTCTTGCTAAGGATCCGTGATAAGATGTATCTTCCTAACTGAGAGTTCTTCCACTGAATAGGCAATATACGCGTGCAGTACGTCCCTTGAATCTCGAACTAACTCAAACGGAGTAAAACCATTTAGAGTAAACGAACGACGGATGAAAGAACGAAATAAACTATAAATAAACAAACTGTTAACTAATAACTATCATTAATGATTACAGTAACAAACTAAAAAAACCTGGCTGTTTAAAAACCAACTGAAAATTTCTAAAACTGGCGCTTTACAGAAACTCGCATCTGTTCGACTGTTACCGTGATCACCGCCCTCGGGCGATGCTTCCAAATGGTACACAATAAAATATTGCAAGAAAGCGGCAAATGTTTACATTTCTTTTAGTACTCGTACAAGCACTATAAATTTTAGAAGACATACAAGTACATACGTGCCTAATTTATTATTATTATAAAGCATAATAATAAACTAACTTTATTCAGTATGTTCAACGAACGGCAACGCCTTGCGTTCGCCTGATCACCCGTTCACAAGATTGCCGAAACACTCTGGAGACTGGAGATTTAAACGTTGAAAAAACTGACTTTCTCCCGTTCGATTATTACTAAGCTTGTACTTGATTAAAATACAGGTGGCCGAAATATCGTTGATAAAAAATATGTCAAGTTGGCTATCCCCACCACCATGGTGCTTGTGTGATCCGACATACCGTACGTCGACATGTGACTGCAGACGATATAAGAATAAGATACAAAGAAGAAGTGATAGTTCCACTTTCGAAGTACCATTTACGCAATATGCAAAGGATTTATTCTTACGATGCGGTTCTTATTTTTTTTTAAAGAATCGCGCAGTTAGTGTACATTGTACGATTGCAATTTTTATTACAATTTTTTTTTACACTTTCAGTTAAACCGGTGTCGACCTGTTGATATCTGTGGCCGCACGAGTACGACGGTCGACGGGTTTGTTTTGTAAAGTATGGAATTTGTACGGTGCCGGTTACAATTAACAATATTTAAGATACATTGGCCTACTGTATACTATATACATCTATAATGACATACATAATAATGTTAATTAGGCTAAATTCATAAGTCTGCAAGAATTTAATCAACGCGTATGATGAAATATCTGATAACCAATGCTGCAGCGATATTGGCAAAGAGTTTACGCTTTTGCCTTAATTGTTGTTTAGCTGCAACTGCCAATGCGCTCTGATTCTTGAAGTTCTATCTTCTCCCAACGCTTCCAATAAGGAATAAAATTTCCATGAATAGGAGGACAACTGCAATTGAACAGTTAATGTAACGCACGCGTGTCCAGTATTTACGCCGTTCGCATTACCAGTTTACAATACTCATGATCGCAGCTAATAATCTGCAGACCCACACGTCATTGATTTGAACTGTTAAAACATTATGCGTACAGGGTACTACAAAACATACAAAATGAAGAGATAGAGTGCTCAATACTTTTACGGCCCTTATTGTCCAGACTCCAGCCATACGCGTGCAGAATTATGGGAGTGCAGGCTACAGTTTGACCTTTTCGTGTATACTTACTGTCGATATAAAGGCTAAGAGCGGCGAAGATGTATTCCTCTGGTGATATGGAATATTTATGTTTCCCGCCAAGCATGAGTTGTATATCGAAGACCAAGTACTACAAACAAAATTAACAAATTAAGGATCAACCATCATGTACGGATACGTATATGTACGTATGTACGCATATAGTTTTATTAAGAAATATTTTTATTCATCGTAGTTTCAAAAAATTAAATTCGACTTTTGAGTTATTGCATTTTATTTGCAATAAGTACAGAGACGAGCATCGCTCACAAAAATACCTATAATTAGTACAGAGACGAGCATCGCTCACAAAAATACGTTCAAAAATTGAGTTACATATAACAAAATTGAGTTATAGACAACAACTTTTGAGTTGTATATAACAAGGCGTACGCGGAATTTGTGTCGCATTCGGGCTGCACGATTTTTTAGGCGGAATACAAAAAAACAATTATTATGTGTTATAAACTTACGAATCCAAAAATCAAGGCTGCCAGGGACGCGTAAACGATGTTGAGAATGTTACTTTGGACGAAAATAGCTATGATGCCGAACAGCAACAGCACCATGACGAATACCACCAGCATACCGCCCAGAGTCGTGAAGTCCCATTTCGTTTGCAGAGCGAAGATGGTCAAAGCTATCACCACAATAGTCACAATCCCCACCGCTAGAAGGACTTCGTTGCTGCTAAACACGCTGCAGGAAATTTTTTTATTAAGCTAGCGCTGTTGTACATTTTAACTTCAGCAAAACCAAGTTTGTTCAAAAGCATTTCTGACCTAGCAAAACATCCCAGCATCCAGCCTTCAAATAATGTCTACAATTTGCCAAAAACGCTATTTAATCAACCATTCGTCATTTTTTGCAAAATATTTTGCGGATGAGCTCGGTGAGAGACTGACAGGTACAGTACATGCATACAGCAGATGTTTAATAAATACATACACAATAAAATAACTAATACATGTCTAACACAAACGTTTCTATCCAAGCGGCTGTTATTCGAAATTGTTAGTTTCACCGGTCATACTTTCATACTTACAAATAATCCAAGAAGGATAAAATTCCAAGGTGTCCTTCTCCGTATGTCGTCAGCACAGGCCAGTACAATTAACATCATCAAAGTCAACAACCTAAAAAAACTTAAACTGTGTTGACTTTTTATGTTGGCAGCTATAAAGCAATAATATTCACATAAACTTGTTTGCTAAACAAAATGGTAACTATTTATTTATTTTATTTATTTATTACATTTATTATTTGCTAACTAACTATTTATTTATTAAATAAAATCTTCTGTGAGTATGCAGTAGAGTCGAAAGGTGACGTACTTACAGGGCAGTCCATACCATCCAAATGTGCGTGCTCGCGTACAATCTTACTTCATCACTGTAAGGGATTATAGCTTTGAATTTTAGAATTATTAAGTATTAATAAACAAGACTTTTATAGTTGCGACAACTTACACGTAAATAAACATCGCAATAATCAGCATGGTCACTATTAGCTGCACTACAAGAATTCCGAATACCTTCCGGATAAATCCTGGAAAACCGTGCAAAAGATTATTTGCCAAGCAGTGTGGTATGCAATAGACATCAGTTAATTAAGTTCACGTTTTAAAAGATCTTTTAGACTTTAAGAAAACCTAAACTTCACATTAATTACTTGCGGCTATAATGTGCTTTGCAAACTTGTAAGTGCACTAAATAAATTCTTACACACAATACGTGGGACAGAATTGCTGTACAGTTTTTCTTTAATTATGTACGAGTACCGCAGTTTGATAAATTAAATGAGTTTTTGAATACTGCAGTGAAAATTTATGTATGGCTACAGACTACAGTATGCCCCGGTTCGATTTCGTAAAAAGGCCTTCATGGATTAGATGTGCCGAGCACCGTCAAAATACGGAGCCAGGACGGATGCGTTTTAATTGTAACAATTTCGTTGTAAATTTACGTAGTCTACGTACTCCAGACGTACCAATTAACGTCAAACATTGCGCGATAACTCTACTTAAACATACTGTCGCCGTCACGTCTCGGGTCTGCACAACGCACGTCAAAAAAGTGCTACCTGGCGAACCGGGTGCTACAGTTTCCGTTGCGTTACCTGTCTTTTTTAATTGCGAAACCAAGTTAACGGAGATGTGAATTTAAAGCACTGGCATTTACAGACTCGCAACTGGGTGTGTTAGAAATTATATTACCAATATAATATACACTCATGATGTGTCATGTACTTGTGAACTATGACCATTGTCCTACTAACTGATCTATGAGTGTACGGTGCACCCAGGTCACCAATCCCCTTGTTTATCAGATGTTTAGGTGCAGTAACTTACTAATATCATGAATGTACCGTGTGCTATATAAGCAACCATCTTGTATAACGTTGATGAACAGAACATAACAGAACAACACCAGTGTGTGCGACGCTTCCGGTTTCTGTTCCCGTGACTATAATAATCTCCTAATATAAATTCTAACAGATTATGAGACCTGCTTGTCTCTAAGCAGGAAGTTGTATCTGCCGTGTCTTATTAGTATAGTGGTTTACTACTGTTACTGTTACGGACGCCAAGATGGCAACGTTGAAGGAGATCAAGGTCACGGTACTCAATGGCTCGAACTACGCTCGATGGAGAGTCGAAGTGGAGGACGTCTTAACTGGAGAAGGCGTGTGGAGCATTGTGGATGGAAGCAACAAGATACCAAGAGATGATCCAGCAGACGAGAAGAAACATGCCGCGTATAATAAATGGATATCCGGAGACGGAAAAGCGAGGAGCATTTTGCGAGCGACGCTCGACGACGTCACCTTTAACCAGGTACGAGATTGTAATACATCAGCGGAAATTTTGGATCGGATTAAAGAGTTAAGGGAGCCGAAAACTGGATGCGACTTAATGACCGCGATGACTGAGTTTTTCGGACTGAAGTGGAAGGATAACGACGACGTTAATACCTTCATGTCAACGCTGCACGTATTGGCATCGAAGATCGACGCCTGTGGGAAAGCCGTGAAAACCAGCGATGAGTGGCTGATTTCGAAAACACTGTCCAGCCTGCCAGTTGAATACGGACCCTTTGTGGCATCATGGAATATGATGGCTGGCCCCGATCCGAAGATGAGCGTCTTCCGTGAAAAGCTGATGTTAACTGAACAGATGATAAAAAGCCAAGAAGAAAACCGAGGATATCCTAAAGGACCTTTCGGATCAGCGTATCCGAGTTTCAGTCAGAGAGAGAGAGAGAGATTAAAAGAGAGAGAGAGAGAGAATAAAAGAGAGAGAGATGATCAAGCGCCAGGACCACGGACTTCAGGATCCGCATATCAAGATATGGACATCGAATGCAACTACTGCGGAATGCAAGGACACACAACCAGAACATGTCCAACTTGCCCGGCTTGCACTAACTGTGGAATCGTGGGACACCGAGTGCAACATTGCCGACGTGAACGCGTGAGAGAATCAATGTGAAGATATCAAGGATCCGAATCAAGAACCTTTGGAACCAGTGTGCATTTCAGTGGATATGGCGCGCTGGGTGAAGGGGGGTGTTAGAAATTATATTACCAATATAATATACACTCATGATGTGTCATGTACTTGTGAACTATGACCATTGTCCTACTAACTGATCTATGAGTGTACGGTGCACCCAGGTCACCAATCCCCTTGTTTATCAGATGTTTAGGTGCAGTAACTTACTAATATCATGAATGTACCGTGTGCTATATAAGCAACCATCTTGTATAACGTTGATGAACAGAACATAACAGAACAACACCAGTGTGTGCGACGCTTCCGGTTTCTGTTCCCGTGACTATAATAATCTCCTAATATAAATTCTAACAGGGTGCTTTACTTTATACCTTTGCGGATCGCTGCATCGCCGAATCTGCCGGCATCATCGTCAATGTTGGTCGTCGGATCAGGTCTATCGACGTAAACTACATGTTCACCCTGGTACGACATTGTGGTCGGATTCGAATTCCATAAGTAAACTTCGCCGACAATTAATTCGGTTTTGTAACTTAATTAATGTAGAACACTGATACGGTTTCCGTCATAAACTAAACCAGTAATACATGTCCCGAGTAATATAGTCCAGGTACGATGCAAAGTTAGCACAGAGATGAATAACTGAAGAGATGGCGGAACAGAACAATTCCATTTACCCAATTATACGAACGTGCAAAAACACGAAAGAAGAATACCTTATTATTTTTAGAGGTTTTATGGGTTTGTTGTTGAAATACATCGCATCCGAAACCTTCCTCTAGTTTGTGCTTTTCTGGGTGCTTCTCAGAACACACACAAAAGAGGAACTACTCGATCGAAGATCGCACAGCTGTGCTTTCATTAAGAACATCTCCGTGCCTGAACAGACTTTTTTGCCGGGAGCGAGGCAAAAACATTAGACTGGAGGCAACACACCAAAACAATTGCTTAACTACCTACGGTAAAAGTATACTCACTGTGCGAGTTTAACATAATAGTTCATCACTTTAAGATGAATATTACCGTATGGTGCTATGAAATCACCATCGGAATAAAAACGCTACCCATCATTAGTAAGTACCACTACTCTAGTGTTTTCTGTTTTCATGCACTACAAGAAATTAATTAGACGAAACGTACAAAGTTATAAGGCGACGAAGTCACAGATACGTACTGTAAGTAGAAGAACTGCCCTAGAAAACTGAAACTCTAGCTGAATTTATTCCAGACTTTCTAGCTGAATTTATTCCAGACTTTCTCATGTTTATCATTACAGTACATTAATCGGCACAAAACAGGCTAGCATTTCATGGGCCTTGTAATTTCGTGCAGCGATTAATAATCATTATTAGCAGTGACAGAACACTGCACATATGTGCAAATATAGATAGAATTTAGAAGTGCACAGATAGTACAGAGGGACTACAAAGTACATACAGAGTCTGCACGCTAGTTAACATTCCCATCGCCATCGGTGTTTTCTTGGGACGAAGAAAACAACTTATCACTGGAAAATATTTTGGTAATAATGTTAATAATCAAGATTATAATACAGATTAAAAACACGACAAAACCTGCAACTTGTACGATTTCCCGCGCATTTTCCCGATCCTCATTTGAACTCAACCCTGCAAGTCCAAAAATGACGAACACAATAGTACCCAGAACTATCAGAATTATAAAGCCCCAGATAAAAGCCAACATAATGATCGCCAATGTTTGAAAAACATGGCCGCCGCTCTTAAACCCGAAGATCTTGTACCCCCAGCTGCTTGGATCTTTGTCCCATGGTTGAGCGACATCCGGCGCTGCCGCGCGTATCGTTTTTGCAGGCGGTATATCCCGATCAAACTGTGGCAGTCCGTCCCTGGGTGTGAATTTTGAAGCCGGGCAAGTGTCCTTGGACAGTTGATGGTGGGCTATTCGGTCAACAAGTATTTGTATGTTGAAACTGAAATGGGACGCGACTAGTAATTTACGCTGATATTTTTAGAACCGATCGACGAGGCCAAGAGGCAAAGAAATTTTATTTTTTGAGAGGGATATGATTCGAGCAGACATCTACAGAACCAGAAGGCAGAGTTATAATTACTGCTCATTAACAAAGCAGGCGCTTCGGGAGCAGCAGCTGTTTAACCTTTTTTACCTCAATGCCCTCACACAGTCAACTAACAGCTCCAGTTGTCCGTGCTGCTTTCCATAGTCTGTATTCAAGCTTCGCTGACTGCATATTGGTCCTTCGTTGGTAAATCCAGACAATTCACCAGATCCATACGACAAAGAGAAAACGAATATCCAAACAAGCAGTACAGGACTACTACCGTCTTTCGTAACAACAGTCATAGTGACAAGTTACAACGATTTCCTTTCCGGCGTTTGTGAAACTGTGGTCCCGCGGCGCACACTTGTCTTAAACGTTGTGAACGTTTTCGCGCAATGTGTTGTTCGCTATAGAGACATTTCAGAAACTGCAGGACTGTGTTTAATCACTCCCAGAACGAATTATCAAAAACACCGAAGCCTTTCGGGAAAATTACTTTACGATATTTCTATCGTACGCATATGCTCATCCAACATAAGAAAATGGCCACATCTGCTTAATCGTATGCCTTCCGTCGATATGAAATCATCAAGCATGGACATTACTACGTTATTGCCAGGAAATTCATTCCAATGGTCCTAATGCTGTGCAGGAGTCTTATTACCAATCGATCGACAATCGAATTTTATGATTATGCCTATGGTATGACATAGGCCAGTTGTTCCATGGCGATGGTCACTACGTCATGAACATAGCTGCATGGAAGGAGCACCACTGCCCAGACACGGCGAGTCGAGAGTATGTACGTAGCTTGGTGACTCTTGACAGTAAAGGGAGATCCCAATTCCCAGTATGTGTTGATGGCAAGAGCTGTCTGGCCAGTACGTAGAAGCACATGTGCGGACAGAAGCATCAAGCGTGGACATTGCTACGTACTTTAATATCTACTTTGGGAATACTGTTCGTATTACAGTAATAGCTACTGTGGTCAGTAAACTTCTTGTGATCTGAACGTTTTAATCAATTTGGCAATGCAATGCACAAATTTGCAATTGTATAAAAGCGACGTCAATGAAATAGTGGACATGTTGTTACGTATACTTGTTTGTATAAGCTTTTCAGCAAGTGTTGCGAAACAGAGCTATCCTAAGTCATCACAGTATATAACGATTCAACGTTATTAATCCATTTTCGCGAATCATAACTGCCTTTCCATAACTTGATAGGCGGAGGACACGGAAGACTGTGCTGCCACAGGAGCATGAGTTCCGCCGGTGTTTAAAATTTTCCGGAATGTGCTGTTATAGTTAATATACGGTTCTTCCAGTTTCAAATAGAATTCTGACGATGCCGGCGAAATTAACTGAGCTAAATCCTGGCGGATTATGTCGATTGATGGGCGATTTTCTATTTGCAATTCCCAGCATTTGCCAATAATTTCGTATCTGTAATTGCAAGAACCATAACTTTGTTACTGAAAGCAACAAAATTAAAATTACGGTTACAGTTATGTTTACGCGTAAAAGCGCAAAAGATGCGATTAAACAAGTCGCCAGTTTTTTAAACATGTATTATCTTATAAATTATATAATTATATATCCAGATTACTTATTCTACATTGTACATGCACGTACATCGGTAGTGGCGAATACGGTGGCCTGTGCATTCGTGCGCCGTTTGTAAGTGAATTAACGAACTGCGCAATGTTGCCATTAAATTGTGAGCCACCGGAAGTGGATGAATATGGTACATCGCCCAAACTGAAAATCTCCCACAGCAGTACACCAAACGACCACACATCGCTTTTGTAGGAAAAAGTACGATGGAGAATCGATTCGGGGGCCATCCATTTGATGGGTAAGGCCACCTGTGTGACGATGGCGAAGATTAATAAAGTGAAGGCTAATTAACAAATCAATGAATTCAGTAAACAGCAGGTAATGCGCAGTTAGGTGCTACGGCCATCCTAGAGGTCACAACTGTCAACTTTCGTTAACCACATGCATTGTTCGCGGAGCGATAATCCGTAGTATATTGCGCGCTTTTCCATTTCAATATGCGAACAACAAACGAATTAAAATTCAACAATTACCATACCTTTGCAATGAAATAAAATCAACAATTTGGAACAACAGCAATAACCAAAGAACTTTTAAGCTATAAGCGCGCGAATAATATTTTTATTTTTTTGGTGCCAAAAAAATAAACAAAGTTTTTACAGAAAATTATAGCTCAGCAGAATAGTTTAATGTAGTTAGTGTTACCTGATCACTGCTCATGCTGTAATCCGTCAGCAGTCGCCGTCTGGCCATACCAAAATCGGCAATTTTCACAACATAATTATCCGCTACCAGGATATTCCGCGCAGCGATATCTCGATGTATAATGGACTGTAGCGCCAAATATTCCAGACCATTACTAATCTGGTATGCAAAGTTAATCAGATCACAGGTGGTCAGGGCGTCTTCAGGGCAACTGCCGGTAACACTACTGGTCGTGCTCATATAGTCCGAACCGGATACGACACGCACATAACCAGTCGGCGTTTCCGGTGCCTGTTCATCGGGAATACTGCTGCCTTTCGCTATCAAATAGCCCTCGGCATCCACCTGATCGGTGAATGTCCGCCGACGAGATCGCAGGAATTTGAGCAATGATCCATGGGGGCAGTATTCAAATATTAGGAGTATTTTGTCTGTAAATATAGCCACGTTGTGTCACGGCAAATAACCATATATAAACTTCATCTGCCAATATACAATACCTAATAAAAATTTCCTGCGTTCCTTCTATCTTTTATACAGATTATTCATTATCTAGTTCAGCCTTTTATTTATTTTTCAGCTCTTTGCTTCACTGCTTTTTCTGCGGACTGTTTCTACTTGTTAAGCACGCGCTATGGAAATAATACACTAAAGCATAAATCAAAAGATTCGGAATATTTGCTGACTGCCGAGAAATTTACCGCTTCGGCATAAGCCAATAAGGTTAACAATATTCAGATGCCGGCCAACTTTCTTCATAATCCGCATCTCTTCGATAAATTGCTTTTGTTGTTCTGCATCGTCATACTCGATCAGGCTTTTGATAGCCACTAGAGTCTCCGTATCAGGTGATGTGGGAAGATTTTTTATCACGCCTTTGTAAACGAACCCATATTGACCTTTGCCCAGCAATTGTCCCGCTGAAAAAATAAAACATCAGATTTCAAAAATCACTGCGTGCGAATACTATTCCACACGTTTTGGCATAATTATGAAAATGCAATTACGTACTGCTTGTCAAACTTGTTGGATCGATGTCCAAAAGTTTGAGATAGTCCTCAAATGTCGGATCCTGTTGGATAACCGCGTTGACATATGCCGAACTGCGCCGGTATACATTGGATAGCGCGGTCAAGGAAGTGGCATGTTGCAGTGAAACCTGTATAAGTGTACATGCAACTGTGCAACCAACCGCTAACAAGGAAAATCCGGTTTGGAACACCAGATTCTTGCGCAACACTCACTGTACCGGATGTTTAGCTTTCTTGCGTGCCCGCCGTCGTCTCCAGTAGAAGTACGCACCGGCCAACCCGATGAAGACCATTAAAATGCCCCCAAAGAGCCCGACCAATAGTGGCATGATAAATGAAGAGGCGGGCGGTGGACGGGGTGGACCGGTGATATTGGCCGGCTGCCGGACCACCACGTAGTCGATAAGAAATTCGGTGGGGAATTTCGTATCCGCTGCCGGAAATGGGCCCATTGGGCCGCCTACTGTCACACTCATGACGATCTGCAAACGTAACCATGTGAAAATTTTTAACAGCTGTAATATTATGACTCTTATGTGTTTTTATGCTTGGCAATACTGCCAGTAATTTAATTCATACGTATATAAGCATCTACACATTTTTTTAAGTCTGAAATTTATTAGCTATACGGCAAGATTGTTTTCTGAACGGTTTGTAGACAATGGCGACGTACGTGGTGACGTTCGTAAGATAAAATTACGAATGCATTGCGAAATTAAACAAAATTGTATTGAGTTCTCCTATCAAAAATTGCAGTATAATGTAAATTCCTTAACATGCAATAATATTAAATTTTTGTTTAGAACTATCTACGGTATGACAGCAGCATGTACCTGTGTTTAGAGATGTTTGTTTTTATCTATGACAGCAGCATGTACCTGTATGACAGATTGCATGTCTGTAGATGAGTTGACAAAAAAAAGTTATTTCTGAACTACACCTGCGCTATTTAATAACAAGTTCCGCTTCTGTGCGCTTTCCGCAAACCAAAACAAGGAATTCCCTTTACACACCCCGTGCCGCACCACGTCAGCGCGGTGCCGCTGTTAAGTGGCGCATACCACGGTGTCATGCCAATAACACCATTACCACACCATACCCACATTCCGTCGACGCCAGCAAAATTACTTTTACGTGCCCGACACTAAACCCATTAATCCCTCTTTATTAGCACACACACACATTACACACACACACTTGTATACCTGCATGCGTGTACTGGGCACATCCTGGCCGGTGACATTAAATATCGCCACATCATCAATCACCCAGATCAGCTCCTCCGACGTCCATATAATCTTGTAGATGTGGAAGTCCAGGGAGAGATCCGTGGGCAGACTGGCCGTGCTGTTGCGGGATTCGGCGTTGTAGCGCGGCAGTTTACTCTGGGGATACTTCCAGTTGGTGACGGTCTGGATGGTCTGATTGCCACTATCACCGCGGGACACCTTGACATTGGTCTGCCATTTTTTACACGGCGCTCCGGGATAGCATTGGTAGTGAAGTAGCCAGATGGCCGGGTTGATGCCGCGTGGACTGGGCACTTTGGCGCGCCATTCGATCTCACCAAACTAAACATTACAGTTATGATATAAGTATTTTGAGGAAATATTTACAAGGACCTGTGGACTTGACACACAGTGTTGGATTTGAGTGCCATATTGTCACATTAAAGTGGCCTTAATCGATTAATTCAGCAAGGTTACAATAACGTATGGCATCGACAATGTACATACGAGTACAATACTGTGAAACTTTAAAATTCTATGTATTTGCACGCATTGCTGACCTAAATTCTGATCTGACTAAATCGTTCTTTTTAAAATTAAACAAATACAGAGCTAAAGAGCATTCTAAAATACGTATTTTACTATTTTAACCGTATGCGAGTACTAACTGAAATGCAAAATCTTTGAAATTGATTACAAAATCAGACTGAAATGCAGAACGCACAGAATACACAGAAGCGCTGGCATAACTCAAAAAAGTTTAACGGAAAATAATTTTATGCAGAACCAGCGCTTCTATACGTCATTAAAAAGAATGCATTCAGCTTAAAAAGGGTCGGTTTCTGGAACTGACTCGCATAAACTGTTGTGTGAGAAACCGGTTTTCCCCGCTTTTTGTTCTTGGGAACACTGACACGATCGTGCAGCGCTTTGTACAAAAAAACATTGTTTATCTAATGCAAATTTAGGGAGGCATACGAGAGCTTACAAAGCATAACATCGTGTAGGCTTATTACTTACGCTCAAAAAATACAGTATTTATCGGTTAAATTACATTAACAATAATGTGGATCAATATAAAATTGTTAAGCTTACAGGAGTGTAGATTGGCACAAAAAAATAAGTAGGAATTTCACCAGAAGCAATTAAATCGTGATGTGACTTTCAGGCTTTCAGTTCTTCTTTTATATTTATGGCAAAATAGTTGTTATACTTACGGTGTGTCAAAATAGTTACAGAAATTTAGTTATAGTCACAGAACACATGTGCTCCCAACGTAAATTCTTTCATGTGTAATGACTTCTATTTAAAATTTAGTGTAATCAGAATTTACGCTCACCTGGAAATCAAAAAGACCCTGAGTGTCTACGCGACCGGAAGTGTAGTTGTAATCATTAAACTCCTCCTTTCTGGTAAAGATATGCAAATATCCATTTTCGACCACCACATTTTCCCGGCGATATGTCTGCAGTTCGCCCGGAAAGGCGTTTTTCTTATTGGGCGGCCCGACATTCCATTTGGCGGGATCCGGTGGTCCATCGGCGGTGAAATCATCGCGGAAGATATCAACAAAATGTGTCACATCCACTCCCACGTAACACCACACTGCGGTCGGCCACACTGCAGCACCGATGACAACAACAAAAATCCCCAATGTACACCTGTCCATTGGATCGTCATTTGTGTATTATCACATTACGGGACAGCAGCCAGATGATGACAGTCAGCACATTTGCCACATGGGAAGGTTATTGTATAATCAATTCACCATCGTCCATTTTCTGTATGTATGAGTAATCTTGTCGGGTGCGAGAGTCGGAAATGATATTCAACGAACCATCCGAATATGCGCGTGTCTTGGTTCAGTGAAAGGCATTAATAAGCCCCAGTGTTTCGTCGGTGGTGATTAGCGAGGTAGGTATACGGAGACGGATGTGCGGGGATATATCGGCAGAAAAATGCTCGAGAGTTAATGATGCCCGGCGGGTTTTGTTTGCTATTTGACGGGCAGCCGAAAACACTATGTACCCGCGCGTATCACGATACATATACGACACAACAGTAACGGTTTTGTTGGTTCTTCACACGTATCGACCGGCTGAGAGAAAACCTGTTCCCGCGCGTGCTGCGTCGGCAGACGTATTGACATACACCGGCGGTGTGGGGAATTATGCTGCGATCGGCGGTAAAGTGTTTTTTAGAACCCAACTAAAAGCTACGAATAATACGGCTGAAAGGGAAATGCTAATGTACAGAGGAATTCCCGGCATGTTTTTGAGGGTAGCGTGCTCTTCGTCGCAAATCGATACCGCTTTGTCAGAGCGGTATTTAAAGTTGAGATACCGGCACCTGCGCAAGTACACCTACGTGTGCAGCCGGTGCATGTATGCCGTTGCGGAGGCAAGGGCAATCAGAACAATTTGCACTATTGTTCGAGTATTTTGGTGTTATTGTAAAACCCTTTCCGCTCTGCGGAAGTAGCGCGCGTTAGTTAGAGGAATTTTCATTATACACCGCGTATATGGATATGCCGAATGTGTTATTTAAGACATTTGTCTGCGTCACTCAGGTATTTCCTGTGGCGTACGGTATGTAAATTTGTCTTTTTCTCAAAAATCTGACCTGATATACGGAGTTATAAGATTAGCATTACTGGACTGACCGGTGAGGTGGACTCGTACTGATGTGCATTCTCGTTTTGTTTGGAATACTTAATGTCTATCGTATGCTACCATTAATCCGGACCGCCTGTAGATATAAGCAGCCACATAATTATTATTATAATAGTATTCTGCTGCAACATAAATTCTTACAAAGTTAAGTACTCACACACTTTCTGCTGCATAAAATTCATGTTCACTGTACTGTGTGCAATACCCCTTCAGTACGTGTGTTCTTTACTCATTGTCAGTGGAATTAAAACGCAAAAGATAAAATTAACTAGTGTACACTTTTCACTACTAGAGCACGGCAGTCTCCGAGCGATGTTAAGCTGCACTGACATGTTAAGCTGTACCTGATGCACAGTAAAGTAACGTAAAGTACAAAATTAATTTCCTTAAGTCAAAACTAATTATAGGACAGACTGATGACAAAGATTTTATTCAGATTTGTGGAATACGCATTATGTACGCATACGACTGACGTTGAGCACTAAAAGCTTCTAACAAAGAACATAAACATTTCAAAAATTAATTAAGAGACAATTTTTGTTTTTATCCAAGCTGTACACGAAATTAAAAAAAAATTATCAAGTTTTTTAATGTGAAACAACGCAGAGATTACCGTGTCTCTGGTATCCGGTACGCGAACTGTCCGGAATGCGAAGAACGTCTAAATGGTATACTTCTTATTCTTCGGCATCCTCCCCATTAGTCGCCATCCTCGAATTCGCCGTACTTGGACGCGGAGCTGCTGGCCTCGCTGGATTCACCACTGGACTCCGGAAATTGCACATCCTGTGCGTCAGTATCCGGGTATGCTGGCCACCGGTCCTGCACATAATGCCATAAGGCGCACAGACAATCGGTTCAGCTTGGTAACATCCACGCTGGCCACATTATACAGCGTCCATCTGTGCTGGCGATACTGCGCCGACGGTCTCGGATCACAGGTTTGGTAGTCCCGCAGAATCTGCGGAATTACTCAGCAAATTAATCACTTTACCAAGCCGACAATTTACTTCTTATACGGCATAATAAACAATCGGGACAGTATTTAATTCGGTATGATAAATAACTGGAAGCACTTTCTATCGGAAATCGGAAAATGTTTGTAAAAAGCGCCAACAAGCTGCCTAACAGTGCTATGTCCATACTTGTACGTACGTTCTCAGTTTCCTGGCGTCCTCTCTGTAGCCGATCCTGTTAGCCAGGCAGTGGGAAATGCGCTCCATGTCCAACGGCTGACCTTCGCAGGGTAGATTCTGCTCGAACAGGTCCACAATGTGCGCCTCATCGACAGGTCCCGTGGTGAAGACTTCAACAGGAATGCGGAGATTCAGCAAGGGCGAGCGCTTCTTGTCTAACAAAATCAGGACATAGTTCTTCCAAATCACACGATCACAAACAGACATGAGCTTCGGCAGATGCGCGGTGATCTCAGCGGTCAGTAGGTTAACCTGGGCTGATATGCTGCCTGTGCAATCCTAACCGATCGCCGGTTCATGATGAAACGCTCGATACGGAGGCCATGGCATCGTGCAAGATCTCATGGATAACGTCCACGGTTCCATCGGCTACCTGCACGACCCAACGGCTACGGTAGTCTGGTTTGGTGTCGCTAATGCATAAGGTGCGGGTTGCGGGTGAGATAAGCTTGAGAAGGCAAGCGTACATCAAATAATTACGATCTCCTTTCGCTGCAGAGGATCTGCTATGCCTGGCCTATCATCCGGGTCACTAATGATCGGTTGCCGCGATACACGCACCTCGCTGCACATCTCCGCCGATGTGAGAATGGCATTCCACAGTGCAACACTCGGCGGCTGCTTCCGCTTCGGCTCACAACCATCAATCTCCGTTTTCGATATTTCGTGGAGAAATTCCCACTCGTTTCTCTCTCTTTCGAACACAATCCCCTATAGTAAAAGAATACGAAAGCCCAGCACTGTACTTAATTCCCGGACGACAAGTACGATATCAATAACCAGTAACGAGTAGTACTAACGACTCACAATATACTCAGCTTCCTCAGTGCGTGATCGGATCGTTTGCTCTGTCGCACACAGTGCATCTCCATACTCAGCACTTTGACGAATCGCAGCCCTAGATATCACTCAACTTTTCGGAGCAGCAACGCCGATACGGACGGCTCTAGAATCCAGTAACCATTCGGCACACGGCATGTCCTGGCGACAAAATGGCCCAAGGCAAGAAGTCCTGGCCTGCTGGCGTCATCCGTGAAATTCCGTATCTGTCGGCTCGGAAGCAGTTCTCGACGACACCGTCCGTCCATCATCACCTTCCCGAGGTACATATCATCATTTATGTGACGGAACCAGGACATGGTGAAATCAACATTTTTCCGGGATGCCACTTCCAAGGACGATCCCGGCCGCCGCGCAGCAGCACTTCCACAGCGTCTCCCATGCGCGCGCTGTATGATATCTCGGTTGAGCTGTCCCAGACCGTTCCATATGGAACAAGCACCGCCTGCTGTGTGGGAAATCCGAAATCGACGACCAGACGCGGTTCAGCGCTGCCGTTCCCTTCGAGGCCGATAACATGGCCGTGATGCAACTGACCGTCAATCTCCACATCCACCGCATTCCAGTCGTACAGAGATTCAGCATCTTTGTACAGATGCATTCTTCTCTGGACTGCCCAAAGAGACACGACAAAGTAATTGAGTGTAATGGAAGGAACGATAAAGGGAAAACATAAATATGGTCAGTAAAGCTGCCAAATGCGCAAAGCAAGAGAAAGAGAGTGCTCGTTTTAACTTTTAAATGAGACAAACAGGAAGAAAAGTAAAATTGCGCATGAAAAGCTACGTAGGTACATAACTAGTAATAGGCACCGACAGCATCGACCGCCGGGCGGGGGGGGGGGGGGAATTAAACGAATGCCAGCTAGTGTTCAGTTTTTTTTTAACCAATGCTTTTATTAATTTTACATTTTACATTATTAAATTTTTTTTGTATAATAAGATATTTACAATAACTTTAAGCATCAATCGACAGAGGCGGCCTAATCACAGAGAAAATTTATCTAAATTTGCCCCTATCGGCGCTTTTCCCAAGAATGTTAAGTTGTTAACTTCACTCTAATACATAATAAAGTGTGATATAAAAAGGTAAAAAGCAAAGTACATTTTATTCAGTCAATGGTATTAAATGCATTACCACATTCTACCGCGAAAAATTCCCAAAAAGCTGCAGCCTGTAGGTCGGGTAGTGCAATTATAAAAAGGATTGGGTCCGCAATCGGCTGAAATAAGAAAAGAACCTCAGTTATCTGAAAAACGTAAGTGTTCGGAACGGTTCCCATTAAAGAGTTACGACGTAGTGAAAGTAGATTGGACACCAGCATGCCATTAGGCTGATCGTTAGTCCCGCCAATATGGCAAACGCATATTTATTCTCCATTTTCCCAGATTTCAGCCGTAATGAGATTCGGTTAGTTTCCCTGTTTGTTGACGTGTTCAGTGGTCAGTACGGGAACTTCGACCGATGAAATGCTGCCTGTGCAATCCTAACCGATCGCCGGTTCATGATGAAACGGTCGATAGTATACGGACGCCAGCATCGTCCAAGGTCTTTTGAAATAACTTCCACTGTTTCATCGGCTACATGCACGACCCAACGGTTTACGGTAGTCTGGTTCGGTTTCGCTAATGCAGATGGTTGGGGTGGCGGGTATGGTAATAAGCTAATTATAATAAGGCAAAGCTTACATCAAAAAATTACGATCTCCTTTCACTCTTGATGATCTGCTGCGCCCATCATCCGGGTCAGCAATGGTCGGTTGTCGCGATACATGCACCTCCCACATCTCCGCTGAGGTGAACATCATTCTGCAGTGGATAGGTGCGTCGACAGCGCTTTCAAAGTTGAGTTGTTTACTAGGTTGCTTTATAAATTTCGACCGTGTGTGGACTATAAGCAAACGAGTCGAGTCCTGTAAGACTGTGACTAATGTATTTTTCTGATAATTTACAGGGGTATTATCCTAAACATTCAAATCTTTAATATCGCATTCGTGTTGCAATAAATATAAATGCCGGTTTTGCCAAATTTTGAGCTTGAGGCTAATTAAAATGCAACGACAGCTTTTAATCTGGAATCAGGTGTGTGAATATTGCATATATGAGTATTTAAAACGCCATGGCTACTTCTACTGTACATTTGTGAAAATACGAGTACTTGTTTCTAAATCTTTGATTTCCTGCTGACTCCGGTTTAATAACGCCGTAAGAATTTGAAATGAGTTTCAAACAACCGGAAATTGGTCATAAAGATTTTAGAAGAACGATGTCGGTATAAAGGTGCTATACGTCAGCGGTTCAGCATCGTAAACCTCGTTAGGGTCCAGCCAGGGTGTCCACAATCCCTGATGCAGGTCAGGATGGGAGGCGGGGTCGAAGGGCTTGTTTTGAAAGGGAAAAACTGACTGATTATAAACGCTGATTTTCTGTTTTAGCGTTTGTAATTGGTTCGGATACACTGAGGCGATATTGTTGGTTTCGCATGGATCGTTAATCAGATCGAATAGACAGTCGCTGAGATACGGCCGACATTGCCTAACCTCCGTGCCTTCGGGGAAATTGCATTTCACCGAGGTGGGTGTCCAGACTTTCATCGGGTTCTCGGGAGAAGTGCCTTCTGTTGTTCCCCTACAACAAGTCTGCCATTCACTACCGAACCGTGAATGCGATGATAAATTCAAAGCGAGAAGAGAAACCGGGCTCCGTATGGTCGTGTTCCTTTTGAACACTTATTGGAGATATCCAGATTCCAGATTGAAAATTGTGCTTTAAGATTCTAAGTACTGCACTTCCGTTAACTTTGTCTGTATCATATTACAAAATCGGAATACCGGATCGGCTACTTTTAAACTTACCATCCGAAATAATTATTCATGCCAAGGTTCCCGCCTGAAAGGACAACAATGTTACTGACACAATGACAGCAAACACTTAGAATTCCGATTTTTACATGATTAGCCAAGTACAGGAGAGAACAGATAGAGCACAGATTAATTGCTAATTTTGCTTATGTCAAGCAGTTAACACTGACCGTAAATTTTATACAATCCGCCATACGGGTCCTGGTAAATCATGGCGTACGATCCCTCTCTTGAATCGATGTTGTTCACCAGTTCCCTTCTCGGCCCATAATTTTGCCCCTGAGTCAACGATGTCCACTGGCTCATGCCGGTAATGTCATACTTATCGAGGTCGGCCAGATTTCCACCGGCTGCCTCGTACAGCGTCGGCAGCCAATCAGAGATGTGGAACAGCTGATTGGTTATGTGACCACGACGCTGAAGTAACGGTGACCAGATGAAAGACAACGTCCGCACTCCTCCCTCAAACAGCGAACCCTTGCCCAAACGCAACGGCCAGTTGCTGCCGCGGTTGGCGCGTGCGGCAGAGGACCCCAAAATCGGCGCACCGTTATCACAGATGAAAACTACGATGGTGTTGTCAATGGCGCCGGTGTACGTCAAGGCTTCCACTATGCGTTTGAGCTGTTCATCCAGGACTTGAATAAGCCCTGAAAGTTAAATTTCAAGCACGGACATGACCTTTGGTTTATCTTTTAATTAGGTTTGTTTTTGCTGTACTGCCCATAGTGTTAAAGTGTTAAAGATAATGCTGAAGGTCTTTAAATGCGCGCGATTCCAAGAAATTGTGCCGTGTTGTAAACAAACGACCTTACCGATGTGTTTTTTGCGCTCGAGAAAGTGGTCAGTAAACGAGCGAACAGGTGGACGTAGTTGATATTTGGGCATCACCTGCAAAACTGGTCCGAACTGACCAATTGCGGTGTGTGGAACGGGTGTAGCGAAGCAGAGATAAAAAAACGGCTGATTGGGGTCCTGATCGTGTATGATTTGCTCGGCCTTGGCCGTCATCATTTCCGGGAAGTAGAAGTTGTTCGTTATATTGGCGAACACCATGTTGTCGTTCTCGCGAAATGCCCGTCCGCTGTTTGGCACCGGCGCAATCTAAACGCCGTCATAGGTTTCTTGTTTAATGGAGGTGATGACTTTTGTATTTTGTATTTTTTGTCATTACAGGTTAAGTTCTTTTTATGTCCTGTACTTTGCTTTACTAGTATTTGTTCTCCTTTACTATATACTTTCTTCTCCTTTACTGCCCTTAAAATGACTTTTCCTCCAAATGTGCCTGCTGTGTTTGGTTGAATATGAATTAAGTAGATATGAACGCCGGTTGAACTACCATAAATCATACAAGTATCCAGCTCCGCATTTCAAAAGTGTATCACTTTTAAACTGATACACTCAGCTATTAAAAAACAGTTTCGGTGTCAAGTTTCTTGACAGCAGTCAAGAAGTTTTCAAGGCCAAATTTCTAGGCAGTAGTTTCGTTACGACCGTATGGCGCTAAAAACTTGGATCGATAATAATTTATGAACGAGAATTTATGATGATTGATTTAACAGACATGATACTGCAACATTTGCAATACGTAATACATCGGAAATCTGAGTATATTATGGGCACAAAACAAGCATGATTAAGGCCAAGGCCAAGTATCTGGATAATAATTTTGTTACAACCGTATGGCGCGAAAAACTTGGATCGATAATAATTTATGAATGGTTTATGATTAATTTAACAGACATGATAAAACTGCAACATTTGCAGTGACAATATGTAATAAATCGGAAGTCTGGGTGTATTATGGATACAAAACAAACATGATTAAGTTGTCGCATTTCTTACCCATCCAGTTGTGTAATTAAACCAGTTCAGATCACCACTATGGAACCAGAACGAATAATCAAAACCACGATGATCTGCAATCAATTAATGCACGCTGTAGTGAGTAACTAATTAAAAAGCGCACAATCCGTTAACTTCAGTACCCACTTACTGGGAAAATGGTCCCGGGAGTATGTTCCCAAATGCCACTAATAAAAAAGGCAAATAGTGGAGATCGAAAGTAAAACGTAAACCGAAAAATAAATGCAGACTTACCTTTCCGACGAGGAATGTATTGTATCCCAAATCTTTAAAATACTGCGGTTGAATCTTGAACTGCACTGGAAGTCCCCACGGTTCACCTTCACTAAGCACACTGGACTGCATTCCTGCACAATTATGGTATATACAAAGATGTGCTCGCAGCTTTTATCTTAGACAGTATAAGAACATTATAGTTCGAGTTCAACAAAATCAAAAACATAGATTTGTAAAAATCAATTTTTGTACGTATTGTTGTATTCGTAGCTGCACTCACATGGATAGGAGGGACACCGTTACTCGCTTAATTGTATCACATAAATTACCAACTCTCCAAGCATCTTTGCCGGTCATTAAGGCTGAGCGTGATGGCGAGCATAAGGGGTTGGTGTAATGACGATTGAGAATGATCCCGTCCCATGCTAATTTATCAATGTGCGGTGTTGGTGTCTGGAGGTTGCCTTCCGAGTAACCAATATCGGCATGTCCCTGCGAAATATAAAGTAATCACGAAATTCAGTAAATTTAAAAGGTAGGGACTTCTCCTACGTACTTAGCGTGCGTGGCTTGGTCCATCCGGTGCACGCTTATGATTGCTAATTTACGTTACAATTAACAATACATATACAAAGCAATTACGGAAGGCTATGCACCGCATTTGCATCCGCATAATTGTTATTGAATGAAATTTTGAGATATCGACTGAAGATTTACGACAAAACCGCGAAAGTAATATATAAAATGTTCTACTTTTGACAAATCCACTGATATTTCAACATTGCCTCAATAATATCTTTACGATTTTTTACGAAGTAGTGAACGACAGCATACTGGCACATGTGCATAAATGTTCAGAAAAAAACCGAAAAAATCATAATTTTTCTTAACTCTTGAAAGCGCATAAATCTTGACGTGAACAACTCTTGTTCCGCTTTCATGAAAGAACATATCGTACACATTGCTGCTGTTCTACGTATTAGGATTATATAATTTTCGCAATAACTTACCAGGTCATCGGCAATGAAAAGGACAATGTTAGGTATTCGTGTGGTGGCCTTTTCCTCTCCAACCCGGTCAACATGCCTAACCCGAGCTGGTGTTCCGGGATTCCAGGCCCGCGCGTGTCCATGCCGGAAACGGCGTCTGATTGAGTGTCTTGCGTTATATCTCCGGCTACATTCACTTAATGCAATCGCCAGAGCTATCAGAACAGCTATCCACGTACAAAAGGTCGTGATAGGTTTTGACATCTAGAATATAAACTGGTGATGATAAACTAACAAGCTTCACTAGAAGTTGTCACCAGGCGTGCATAAATGCAAGTGTGGGCCGATAAATGACAGACAACAGCGTAAAATTATTCTTGTCAACTAGTACAACTACATGTAGCTGCAAACAACCATTACCGTTTCTTCGGTGGTTGAAACGGTAAAAACAGCATTTGTTGCTGTAAAAGTAAAATGTATTATAATTTATATGTAGATGCACTCGCATATTAACTGTAGCTTGCGGATAAATTTTGATACAATAAGTGCCAATAGCTTATAAGGAAATAAGCATAGCTTATAAGGAAATAAGAAATAAGGTCAGATTTATGATCGATCGTTTGTTTGTTTATTTAATTAGCTTAAGGTCTACAACAATCGAGACAACCCTGCACGAGATTGTAGACTACCACAAGAGAATGTGCTCTCGTATAATCCCTATTAAAAACATTTATATGGAAAGACAGTTTTATATGTTTCGGATGAGTGATTCACAAAAAAACGCATGTGATACACAGGTTTGCACGTCGGTTCATGCAAATCGCTTTCAGCGCTGACTGATAACGCCTGGGTAGTGTAACTTCTATCTCGTTCGGCACGATTATTGTCGTGGTTTGGCAACTTTTGTTCGAAAACACACATACCTTATACACATACTAGCTAATAATCCTGCATTTTATCGGCAAAACCTCAGTTGCATACACTTTGTATATTTTTATATACTTTATGTATTTTTGCTAAGTTTTACATTAAATATATTTTCCTTTTTCTAATTTTTAAATAGGGAAATGCTCAAGTTGATACACGCTCATCCATCGTCATTGTGAAAAACTGTGAAAATCAGGTGATCAGCCCTGCACTTCCAGTCAACCATTTTGCGCGTTTGCTTGCGCATAATGCGTAGCGGGACTTTCGACCGCATGCTATAGAACGCTATAATAATATGGATAAATCTCTATAAAATAGTATACACGGATAAACCTCTATGAATCTTGGTGCACGAGTACCTTAAAAGATTAGGTTTTTTCATTTTTGTTCTTAATAATTGATTATAAAATCTGCCCTTATCAGTGATTACGCATAAGGCGCAGTATGCATCATTATGCATCTGCATATACGTACTTACATAATTATATGCATTCACATATATGGGTAGCACTTCGTATAAACATTTAAAATACTTCATATAATATCACTTTATAAATACTTTATAAATACTTTACTTCACAAATCTGGAGAGAGATCTATGCTGACTACGGAGAGTACGCACAATAACCGAGATAGTATGACCTACGGACTTCAGAATTTCGGGAGCAGCTAAACAGTGAGTAGACACTGTTAATGAAAGTCGGTATGTGTAATTTTTCACATGCGCCATGAAATACTAACCGATTACGTTAATTACTTAAAAACATTAATCGCCTTGTGCCTGTAAATTAAATCGATTCCTAATCACGGTAAGCACAAAACCGAAACAGTCTGCTTTTATCCATAGTACTTACTGTAAAATTCTAAAATAACGGCTCTTGTAATCTTGTGATAGATGCAGCAAAAAATTATTTCAAAAGCCCAAATACGCATACTTACACAACATGTGTACATATTATCGCTATGTGCATACTTATAATATAAGTAAATATTATAGATATTATATTATAGATCGATAATAATATATAGATAATATATCTATATTATAGATATTATATGTACGTACAGTATACTTTCGGAACGGTACAATATAATCTGTGTACCGTGCTTACGTATATAACGAACACCGCGGAAGTATGTACTGTAAAACGTTTTTCATTTTATTTTTCCTTTTTCTGTTCATTAATCCTATGATTAATTAACAGAACACATTAAACAGTTACAATAGCTGAACTCCCATAGCAGACGCGCACGGACGCGTGCGTGATAATATTACTAGTATAAAAAAAGTCTCTTATCACAAGTTATCAGGATTTCACACGGAGTCGCGTCGCAACGGCTGAATGTGCCATATGTACAGTCCCATGGTGTGCGGCAAAAGTTGTCAGTGCGATGCAAACTCAAAATTTGATATTTTAGTCGATCGCAAGCTTCATACCGCACTGCACCACTAAATCTTGATTTCACTGGTCTTGCGTTTCCAAGTAAATAATTATCGGCGGCAGCTCATATGGAACTATTTAATTAATTGGGATATCAACAGGGAGCAACAAGCTGTGTCACTGCGTCTTTAGGCAAAGATTTTGAAATCGTCTGAACAGTGCAGCCGCATTTTATTACAAACTGATGCCTGCCTACGATGCTCGTATTTCTTTGCTTTGGTGAATTGTTGCATGGTTATTGTGCGCATTGCACTGTTATGAATCCCTGATTGCTTCACAATCAAACCGCACGTTAAAATTTAATGCTAATCAAGCCAAATTGGAGTGGATGGTTTGAATAAACCATCCACGCAGAAACCTGCAGCTGTCTGCATGCAGAATGCAGTGACCAAAAAGTTATTTTTCCAGGAAACGATGAATACAATTTTGCCCAAACTGTTATTAATTAACTGTTCGATGCCAGTGTCATTTCTGTATCAGCCGAAAACTATTGCCACATTGATACATACACCACAACAACCAAATCCAGATTGCCCTGCTGATTAATGAAGAAAAGCGCCGAAACAAATGAATCCGCACAATCGCATTAAAATTACTAGTATCGTACTACAGAATACATATAACGGATAATATGTATAATATTTAGAATACAGCCGCAATTAATTTCATAAACGATTGGGGGCGGGAGGCACAATTCGTACCGACAAAATTATTACGTTATGTCGGATTACGACAAAAAACTTCCAGGACAAATTTTGTCTTTTTCTAGACGAAAAAACACTGATTTAAGGGTGATTGTGATTCATACGTTTCCCGTATGAGTTAACGTCTAAATACTTGTACCGATATTACTATGATTCATATTTTTAATATTGATGGGGAATGAATGAAAGCACTGCGCAAAACAAAACAATAAAGGATGCAACAGTAATCCACAATAAAGAATAATGCTCATCAGTAAATGACACATTTGGTCCAGCTTAGTTCCGTCCATTTGACACGATCCAAACTGGAGTGTTGAAACAGGCGATGCTTGAATACGACTCCCGAGGAAGTTTCAGCTCGTTCTAAAGCTGCGCCATAAGGAATGCGAAACTTCTTTCACTTATTGTTTGCGAAGTCCGTCAGTTGAAACTTATCTCTGAATTCGAAGGTTCCACTGTATAAGGATGTTCTTCCAGGGCGGTGGCTAGGCGCCTTCTACACTGTACCTGCAACATAATGAGAAACGCCAGTCAACTCCAGTCGAATAATACGACGAAAGATAGAGATTTGCTTCACACACTTTGTAGAGATAAGCAGGATTATGTTTGCGTGTGCTACGAAAGTGCAAGCGGATGTCTTCATATTTTGTGGGGAGTAAAATAAACTAGCTGACAATGCTGGGTTGACTTTCGGTTTGACGCCGACGGATCGACTTTATTGTACATTCGGTATTATATTCCATTTCCCGTCACGCTTTCATGGGTTCCGTGCAGTTGGTACATGCGCATATATGTGACGCCGCCATCTGTTACTGCGGTACTGCTGGATTAATATTTGAGAAACAAGAAATTATGATTATCGTTTTTGTTGTGGCCCATTATATGTATTGCATAGTCATGACTCATGAGTGAAGCACCACTTGGTGCCATACAATACCTCGACAGAATCGGCGAAAACATGAAAGAAGTCACCTTAAATTATAGTGCTGTGGCTGTGAATTAGCTGCTGTATCTTTCGGTACTGGACCAGTGGCCATACTGTATTTCGTATACACAACGAAGTTACGCGAGCAACTGTTCAATAATCAATCGATCTACAATAAAGACAGCAATTTGAGTACCGGTTTGTTTTTTTACCACAAGTATATCATGTACCATTTTCTGAAAATGAAAATAATGTAACAAGCTGCAGGGAAACGATTGTGGCAAAGGTTATGTATGTAGCCCGGGTTATGCATAAAGCGCTGTTGATGCAAAGAGAGACATCGTACAAACAGCTTCCAGTTACCCTCAAGCTGTCCTGTTTGCGGCTTTTTGCAGCAGCTGTTATATCTTATTCACCTGTCGGAACACGTAAAAGCGCACTCCCAGCTTCCTGCTGAAAGCAATTTTCGATTTTACCGGCTGTCGACACGTATTACAACAATTTCCATCGGTCTTGCGGGATAATGACATATTCCTAATCTGTGAATTTCGTTAGCCTTTCTGATGTAATCTGTCCCGTCTACAGCTTCAACGTCCGACTGATGACGAAATCACACACTATTCGGCCATCACGGCCAATCTTCCGCGGTGTTTATTTTTACTGATCGTCCTTAACGATTTTACAGTGTATTTGTTAATTAAACAGAGAATTACTGTCCTTGTTAAAATTACAACGAAGCCTGCGTCAGAATGGATTATCTCGAAAGTTTAGGCAGATTCCAACGTTTCTCTTATTCCACCGGTATGTGCCGTATGGCCATGAATTCGAATGCGGTGGTGGCAGTACTGGAAGTATACATTTCCAAGGTAATTACAGCTGTGTGCATACCTGCTAAATTTCGCTCGTTATCGGAGTTCCGGCATTCATATAGATGATCGCGCATGCGCAAATAAGCGTACGGACGGACAAGCGTCCATTTTGCACTAGCGGCAGATAAAACTGATGGGATTCATTTCTGTACTGAGCGCGACCGTGCCAGGAGATGGTGATGCTCTTGTTGGCCGTTGCGATCGTAACCTTCCCGGTGCTTGGCCTCCCGATATATTACATTAACAGCGGGGAGCTACTTTACCACTTGAAATCTACAAGGTACTGCATTTAGAGACACGAACTGCAACGTTGTTATGCGAGACAGTTCATATATGTAGACAGTAGGAGTACCGTTCAGAAAACCAGAGCGTTTCTTTTTACATTTTTTTTATTGAAGACTTTCGCTCGTAGTTGTTTACATGTTAATTTTCTTGTGTACTTGATTGTGCTTGTGCATTGCTTGATTAATCTCGAAAAAGAACGGTAAACGGATGGACTACGTAAGGCTATATAGTGTATACCGAGTAAATTATTTACCGCTTCCATGTCCAGTAAAATTGATAATGAATCAGTGATCTGCTTTATCTAGGCTTGCCTATTTTTTGTACTGATTAAATTTAAAAACGATTGTGCGCGAATTGCTAACAAATCTGTATACAAAAGATCCTGAATGTATATAATTCATAACACTTAACCTTCAACGTCAGGCCAGTTTTAGCTCCGCTGCAAACACGTAAGTGAGCTACTTCCCGTGTAACAGCCAGCATTGCACGTGATTTGTGAAACCGACACTTTCCGGCTGTTAGTATTTTTCTGGGCTTAACCCTTGTAACTAGGTATACCGATTTGATGCAAGACCGTAAACAGGCGAAGTCAGATAATGAGATTAGCTCCATACGCATTGAGCCTTTGAAACGCCTCCTGTATACCTGACTATGAGTAATACGAGTAACATCCGATGACCGACACCGTTCTGTCGAAGCACAAACGCAAATCCCAATTATCTCCAGCATGAATCTTTTATTAGTTCATCTATTCTGATCATGGCGGTAAGCCGATCACTGATTGATTACATGTGGGATTTTGATCCAGCTCATTTAACCATAGAAGCAGCATCTGTAGCGGAGATTTGGTTTAAACCTCGCTTCCAGAAACATGTCTGCTGGACGACAATGACATTCATAGCACACTTCCGACGATGGCCTTCTTGGCAGACTTTTGTGTTACGATTGTACTTTTGCTCATATTCGCCGGGATCATAGACGCTGACACACAAGCATTGATAGTTGTGCGTGCCGGAGGCTCTACAATGCCCTTTGATGTCTACCAGGTCTGTTTCTGTCGGACAGCCTATGACTGAACTGCAGTATCAGTTTTCAATCCTTCTCAATAATAGTTTAATTTTAGTGTTTTTACATGTATACAAAACGTAAAAACCTACTATTAGCTATGCTGTAAACGAAGTTTTGTTAACTCCATACCGTAACTATCAGCAGCAGTTGAATTTATTTGTACATGCTAGTACATTGCGTACACTTCTATGCTGGCAGATTTACCCAACCGGTACGGCAGGAATGCCGTGTTCTAACCGTAAGGTAGAGTACGAGTAGTAACAGCAATCTACTCTGTAGATACAATTGTATAAAGCAATCTATAGATATCCTGCATACTTGTACCGTAAACTCTTAACATCAGCTCTACAGTATACAGTACTGGGGTTAGATAAGTATAGTTTAGCCGGTGTTAAAAGGCATCCGAGGTATCGAAAGTGCATAAACCTTTTCACCTTTACTAAGAGCATGCTTATAATTAAGTCGTAATGGTGATTTCAGTAACTAATAAATGTCGTCACGAATGCACGCAAAGTATAAATAAAAATACTACTCGTAGTACATCATTGGATCTGCCCGAAACATCAAAACTTCCTTGCCTTCGCGGTTTTAACTATCTGTATATAATTTGGATAACCGCGGTAAGATTTTGTTACCGGTTTAGTTTAAGCTGCTGCCTATTTCCAGAAACCAGGTTGAATTTTCACTTTCCGTTTTGCAGGCTGATATAGGTGTATACTGCAAAATGCATTCATGCACCGAATGTTGGTATGATTAGCAGGTCTGGAAGCCCGTCTACCAAGCACATCGTTCTAAATTCGTGCGGGTGGAATTCAGCTACCAAGGCATAGGTAGCGGGGAAGGCCTTGCCAGATTAAAAAGCGGTGAATTCGACGTGGCGGGGTCGGATGCGGAACTGAATAATGCAACATACGATGCATTTCCGGATTTCCAAATGTTTCCCACAATGGCAGGGTAAGGCACATACCGCCTGCGTAGTGCATCAGCGATATTAGAATGATGTGAAAAGGCTTACATCGCGTTAACCACCCGTTTTTAATGTTAAACCGCTCGAAGTAATAATTTGATTCGGAGAGACAGCAGTTTGTTCTGCAGGCGGCTATCCAGTACTGAAAATTATTTAGGAACGTGCCGTTTGCCACACTTCACTGTTGCGACAGTTAGACTGCATGCCGGTAGGCGGTAGTTAAAGGAATTTTGAGGGCAAAGAATAGTATTTAAAGAACCAAATGGTCCCGCAGTAATGCTGATCATGATTACTGATTGCACAGACAAGTATAATAATATTAAGTTGGTGATAGAATAATATGATGGCAGGTCGGTGTCGGTACCATACAACGTCCCGGAGCTTTCGACCAACTGCAGCACGGCATCACACGATCTGTCCAGCTGCTTAAACTTAACCCAAGAAGCCCTTGTTGGGATATTTAACGGAACCATCCAGTACTGGAATGATCCATTAATTATCCTGCATAACGAAGCTTTACGCAATGTCAATAACAAAATCATCGTTGTGGTTCGCGCTGACGGTTCAGGCACGACCCAGATATTCACAGGAGCGTTGGCGCTATTCAGCAATACTTGGAAAACAGTCTATTCCAAATTCAGCGATGGTACGCAAGCCAAAATCAAGTATTACAGTAATTTACGGTTTCTAAAGCTTTCTCCGCTGATTTATTATCTGGTTTAACATTTTCAGGATGTAAATCCAACGAAAAACCAATAAAATGGAACTCTACGCTGAATATTCGATGCGGCAACACGGGGCGTGGCTTAGCCGCTATTCTTCTGGAAAACAAATACTCCATCGGCTACTTAGGCACATCTGACGCACGTGATTCCAGTTTGATGGAAGCTCGGCTGGAGAATCAAGAAGGTCACTTCATTTTCCCAACTCTCCGCAGCGTCGAAGCGGCTATCGATACAGCGCCCAATTTCGGCGCACGGTTAACATCCGACCTCAACAATCTGCGGGGAAATGTAACGTATCCAATCGCCGGTTTTACGTATTTCGTAATCCGAAAAACGTCTATGCGCAACTGCACCACTGCGATGGAACTGTACAGAATGTTTGATTATCTGCTGAGTGATCCTTTAGCGCAGACTGTAGCACGGGATCTGATGAAAGTCCCACTGAGCGCTAACGTCTTCAATCAGGTCAGACAGCAAGCGCTGTTTCAAATGACATGCCAAAGCCATAATGTCAAAGAAATGACGGATTACGCTGTGTCGCTAGAAGACGGTTCTCATGACGCCTGGAAACTGCCTACCGCCATCGTCATCGTTCTGGTCATGGCTATTGGCTTAATCATTTTTTCCGTGTGGGGTTTTGCGCAGTATCAAAAGCATAAAAGTGCGCTGACCAACTCTTTTATCGTTCCCGCAGCGGTCATCGAAGCGCACGCCAAACCGGTTGGATCGGCCGTTAGCACGAAATCCAGACATTCGGGTCCCAGTTCGGGAGAAGTGGTGGACTGGATAACGGGATTTGAAGGGGAGATTGTGCATCAAATGATAGGGGATAATCTGCTGCTGACGACATTATGCTACCATCTAGAGCCTACGGCGCTGCGATGGCAGACGAAGGTCATGCTGGTACATTTTCGCGATGACATTGATCATGGAAATGTATTAAAGTTTATTGGAATTTGTGAGCGGAAGCAGCGGTGGAACGTTATTAGCATCTGTCCCGCTAAAGGTAAAGTTGATGTAGGGTAATGAAGCCTGTGATTTTGCCTTCGGATACATACAGGTATTCTGTTGTAACACTATACGAGTATGCATACAAATATAAGTAAAGACGACTCAGACGAGTACGAGTAATTTTATTTGGAACCGTTGTACGACCAAAGTGTTTGGAGAATTTGAATTCTAGTATCTGCACTTAGAAAGATCTAATTTTGCGACGGCCAGTAAATGTTTAAACTGCGACATTCGCATGAACAGCTGGACGCCTGTTTAATGATATAGGTATTACGATTTTTGAAGGTAGGTTAACGGACATCCTACGCAGCACAAAATTCCATTTGGACAACATCTTCCGAAGTTCCATTATCACAGACATTGCTCAAGCCATGGCTTATCTTCACCAAAAGAACGTTATCCATGGCCAGTTGACAACAAGCTGCTGCTATCTCGATGCCCGTTGGAATGTCGTCGTTGGAGACTGGGAGCAGCTATCTCTGCACAAAGCCAACAGAGTTGAGTTTTTCGCCTACGAACGAATACACAATGTTTTGAACGACGAGAGAACCAAGAGATTAACCAATACGACTACTGCCGACTGCTCTTCTGGACGGCTCCCGAAGCGTTAATTTGGATAGCGGGTGTATATGCCGCTAGTGGTATGCAGAAACCCGCTGATGTTTACAGCTACGGAGTCGTTATGTACGAGATATTTTCCGGTTGTGAATTATATGAACATATACTGAAAGCCTTGAGCGATGACCTTTTCAAATCTCCCCAGTTGCTGCTGAAACAAATCAAATCCGATCATCTGCGACCGGCGTATTACAACGAATTAGCCATGAAGTTCGACCAGATCGGTGCGCTAATTTGGTCGACATGGGATGCCAATCCAGAAAACCGTCCAACATTCTCGGAAATCTTAAAACAGCTAAAGAAAGCTAATCCGAAGCAGAAAAGTATCCTGGACACCATGATGGTAGCCGTGGAGCGCTATGCTGCTACTTTGGAAGAGAAAGTGATGGAACGCACCAGAGATTTAGAAAAGACAACCAAGAGCCTGGAATCACTGCTGAATAATATGTTACCGGCGGCATTGGCTGCCAAACTGGCCAATGGAGAACTGGTTGAGCCTGAGTACTTTGAGAGTGCCACGGTATTTTTCTCCGATGTCGTCGGCTTTACGACGTTTGCTTCTACACATACGCCTTTTGAAGTTGTGAAACTTCTGAATGACCTTTATTCAGGTAAAGAGGCAATGCTTTTATCGATCAGAGTTTTTGGGTACCAGCAGTTTTGCTACACTTGCGCTGATGAGCAGCGTGTACAGGCTATTTGTTTCCAATATACGATGTTTCTAAATGCAGGTTTTTTTTGCAGCTTTTGATGGAGTGATAATGAAAAGTGCAGAGGTGTACAAAGTGGAAACAATTGGTGATGCCTACATGTGTGTTTCGGGTATTCCTCAGCGTAATGGCAATAAGCACTCAGCGGAAATTGCCAACATGGCTCTAAGTATTCTGAACACTGTAGTGTCGGTCAGAATATCCGAGGTACTCTCGGAACCACTGAAAGTTCGGATCGGGATTAACAGCGGACCTGTGATAGCCGGCATAGTGGGTCTGAAAATGCCCCGCTACTGTCTCTTCGGTGATACCGGTATGCAACTGTCGTTCTCACACTGCACGATATTACAGAACACGTTCCTGCGCAGACAGAACGCTTTTTCATTCGGGTTTTTTCTAGTAAATACTGCTTCCCGCATGGAGAGCTCGTCTCTGCCTTTAAGAATCCAGGTGTCGCAAGCGACAAAATTACTGCTTGATGAATTCCATATCTATCACATGGTAGAACGAGGAATGCAGAGTGTGAAGGTACAACCAGAAAAGTAAACCAGAAAAGTAAACCACTGATGAACATTTATTTATAGCTGTTTTCTGCTTTTCAGGGAAAGGGAACGATGATGACTTATTGGCTAATAAGCAGTGATCAGTTCAAAGAAGTGCTTCCTGAATATAACTCCGCAGATGATGCCCAGTTATTTTTGTTGTTAGATTCCACTCAAGTGAAATAAGTAAAAATCCAATCACATCCGATGATCTTTGTTGATCACGAAAAACATAATTAATAAAGCTTAGTTCTACTCACGCGGCAATGTACACCTTATTCATCCGGCAGAAAATCAGATGTACTCGTGCAGGACATTAGAATGACGTAGAAAATACTTCATCTGCAGACTACACACAACTGGTTTAGACGAAACGTTTTAAAAGATATGCTGTTACGGAGCAAGCGGTTACGGAGCGGTTACGAAGCAAGTTTCGCATTCTAGTTGATTGATGGCTAATTTTTCAAAGAACTGGAGAAGTGAATGTGATTGATGTGAGAATTCCCGTACATAGTCTTAAGTCTATTGCGCGCATCCGCCTGCTGTCAACTGCTTCACCATAAAAGACATCATCAGAAGACGAAGCCAAACTGACGCGTGTGGAGGTTAAGGACTAGTTGTCATTTCAGGAGCATTTCGCGGGCCTGCATAATTACATCTTATTAAACTTAAGCCCTTTAAAATTCTTGCCAGCTGTTTTAGAAAAGTTTCTCGTGCTGCGGAACGACATAGGTCTGTCGTCGGTTTAGCTATAATACCCGACATGATCACTTTTGCAAAGCTACTGCCGCTGCTGTGCAGCGTTACCGTTATCATGACGTTTAGTGGCTACTGTGGCACCACCGCATTCCTGGATTTTGATGATCAACAGCTTCGCAGTTCACTGAATGTGACTGCGGCAACGCTGACAACACAAACCCATCTGCAAATCCTCAGTCACTACGTCAAAGTCATGAAGTAACGAAGATCAGTCAGTATACCAGCAAATTATAACGATTTAAGATGGCGTGTTTTTTTTCGAAAAACTGCGATTTTTATAGCTGTTGTAATAACGAATAGCCAGAGTGGTTACTAGTGAATTTTGTAGCATTGAAGAGCTTAGCGTGTTTGTTTGTATTTATAGTTCTAACATTCAGTTACTTACTGACCGAATCGCTCCACATGGTCCCGATACCTGCCCGGTTCCAGACGTAGCGTTGAAAGATAACCCAGTCTCGCCGAAATCCGATGTGCCTGCAAAGACCTCCAATACTAGTACTTGTGCGTTATCCTGGAAACCGAATCCCGATAGCCTCTGGTACAAGCTTCTGGGGATCGTTAATCCTGTACATGGAATACTGACAGTCATGGGCGTACTGATATGTGCTGTCGTAGTATTACTGATACCATGTATTTTATACGAGGAAAGCCTTGACTTCATGGAGTTTGTCGATGATAACTGGGAAATCATCGACAAAGTACACTACGTTGTAAAAACCTTTGCGGCATCCATGTTTGGGCTTTTCCTCGCAGTGAACATGGTTTCTAGTATATTACTTTTCTTTAATAATTAGAATCCTATTTCCGTTTCGATCGACGATGCCCCTTTTTATTTATGTTAATAACAATGTTGGCGTGAAGGTTTTACTAAAGCTGATGCTTTTCCAAGCATAACACTGATACAGCTTACGATATTCTGCTGACGCTGTTTTATGTCTCAATGACGAATAACACTTTAAGAAATCAGAAATTACCGTGATTTATACGATGTATGATTTGCTAGTGTAAGCTCTAAGGTGCTACATAAAGCATTTGTCCTTGAGGCAGCGGGAAAATGAACCGACACCGACCGACATTTTATTGTCTGAAATGTTTCTTTTGCTCGATGTATGAACAATTTTTTTACTATTACATTCTGGAAATTGATTAAGGATAATTTATCGAAAATAAAGATGCTACAATTAGAAAGCTCGGGAAAGCTGCATAGTACAGATACTTATTTGATAATCGAATTGCCGAAAGCCGGGAAAACAGCCATCGAGGCAATAATCGTGTGTTTTTACTGTAATGAAAGTTATGTTGCACACTAAAGATCACCAGAATCAAAATTTCAGTCTTGAAGGTCGTGGTTATTATTTCAGACGCACACACTTTGCTCCATTATTTTACTATACCAGCAGCGCCTCTTGCATGTAAAGCAAACATGTACAAGAGCACGCCGTTAGAGCATGCACCATTCACCTGCCGGAAATTGTACGAGTTTATGAAAAATGGTTAATTTGCTAATTTTATTGCCTTTCCATCGTCAGTCTCAGTTTTCAAAAGCAGCATAAGCGGTAATCGTAAGTATGAGGCCATCAGCCCTACCGCTACTTAGCGCCCTTATGATGGGAATTTTATCCCGAACCGGATCCCAGCTGTACATTGTGCTGACTTAATCTGGTTTTGGATGAAACTGAACCGGCACGCTGAATCGTGGACTGGCAGAGCAGGTTCAATATTCGCACTGTATCCACAACTGCAGTAATGGAAAGACGGTGCTTTTTCCTACGATACAAATATGCAGTAGCCTGCTCAAATACCTTGCGTGGCGGAAGTAGGTTTTTGCATCTGAGCACAAGTTTAATTAAGATGCTACTGTCCTTGATACCATTTCAGGAAATGTGTACGTATTTCGCATCATGCCGGTGAAATGGTGACGCTCCAGAATGTGCCTGGATTTTCTTGCATCTTAAGCTGTTAAAGACATTGCTCGGCGCCAGTTGTTAACGAAGGATCAATGCCTTTAAACGTGCGGTTGCTATTTTTCAAGAGATGTTCGCCGTATTAATAGCGACAACGAGTCTGATATTTCCGATACGATGGTGCATTCCGGTGCATTATATACACAGTGGAGGAGCCACTTTGCCCATTGAGATCTACAAGGTATGAGGCACAGTTGGTATACTGCTTGATGTTATCTCGTATATCTATTCGCATGGTTTGGTGTAACCGTGTAATTAGCTGTAACTGCAACGCGTTTACCTAATACGTACTACTTTGTAGTATATGAAGAGTATTTGTAGGAACAGCGAGAACAACAGTGAATATAAATTCAACTTCACAACTGTGATGTTTAATGTAAAGAAGAGGAACAGCACAAAAAAACATAATTTCGAAATCTGCTAACGCTTTCCAGAAAATCTTTTAGGAAAATAATTCGAATAAGAAAGGAAATCATATTTTAACTTTTATGCAATAATAGATTCACTGCAAAAAGCTTAAAAAGCTTGACAGCTCTTATTAATAATGTACGTATAACAATATGAGATAAGATGCTGCGGTACAGGCCTGTTGTCAGCCTGCTAAAAGTACAGTACTCGTAATTATCGTTTGTGCAGATTTGCGTGCAGCAATTCAGCATTAAGGGGTGGATCAGATTTTCCTTTTGAGGAAATGCTCAGGCTGAGAATTCCATGGCAGATTCAAAACGCGCCTTCGATCGAGGTCACAATACTGTTGCACTTGATTAAAGGAAGATGGCAGGGCAGGGTTCTATAGGCAGAGCGCCCATGCATACGTGCGGCTTGTCGAAATCGATTGAACGGCCGCGATGCGATGCGTTTCTTTTCTTTGGGTCCCTACCGGCACTATTAGGCTGCCCGGCTTAGACAATCCCAATTATCCCGGATCTGTTGGAAGCTTATTCCGAACGTGACAATAAAATGGTTATCACTTTCCCGCACGCAACTGCGTATAATCCCAACTCTTCCACCTGCCTGCGTTCTTTAATTCGTTAACTTAAACCTACGTAATTAAGGGACTTTAAAATTGCGTTTTCTGGGTGATCATGAAGATTGCATCGGAAAAACGGAAGTGTGCTGTTTTGCTGATTGTGTTTGTATTTGTGCCCAAGCATTTTCTGAATGCCGAACTGCCATCGACATTAATTCATGCTGGAGGTTCGACGTTGCCCCTTGATGTTTATAAGGTCGGTCACAGTGTTTGTCACAACAGTGTTTGTTACCAGAAATACAAAAAAAGATTTTCCTCAGCAAGACGCTTATTAACCGTATGGCGTCTATAATTTACAGTTGAGTGGTTAGAAGAGCTTGCGATGATTTCACCGGTGCTGAATTTAATGGTCAGACCATACAGGTTTTTTGAACGGCTTGGAGCTTTGTGATGTTCTGTTATGCTTTGGCATAGTTTTTGTACCACGCGGCAACAATGCAAGTGTGACCTTATTATACACATGTTTTTTACGCTAAAACGCATTATACGCTAAAATGAATCATTACTGACTCCTTTGCGTGTCGTACTTGTACATAAATAAGTGGTCTGCTTCGTTAGCAGGTTTGGAAACCTGTTTATCAAGCCTACCGTTCAAAGTTTGTGCGAGTAGAGTTTAGCTATCAGGGGGTCGGCAGCGGAGAAGGGATCGCCAAACTGAAAACCGGTGAATTCGACGTGGCAGGATCGGATGCGGAGCTGAATAATGCAACGTACGATGCATTTCCTGACTTCCAAATGTTTCCTACAATGGCCGCGTAAGATGCTTTTATCATAACGCACGTCAAAAGACGATTTCTGAAATTGAACCTATATATAGCTTAGCGGGAAGCCGTATTGAAATGTCCCGGGTATTTAAATATACCAATTTTTATCGTTCGGTATTCGATCCCTTACAGAGAAATAGCCTTTACAGAAACATTTTACGAAATCCAGACGTAGGTATACGGTATAATGAAAACATTAAAAGTTATAATTATCATTTATTGTTTAAAATTCTTATTATCAGGTGGAAGTCCACAGTTTCCGCTAAACTGTGACCTGCTGGGGAATCGAAGCTTTGTACTGCTTTAAATAATCTTGATTCGGCATTTTTGTTCTAGATCGGTCTCGCTGGCGTACAATCTACCTGAGCTTTCTCCTAACTGCAGCAACGCTTCTCAAGAATTATCTGGATGTTTAAACCTTTCCCAAGAGGCACTCGTGGGTATATTCAACGGGACGATAATCTATTGGAACGATCCTTTGATTGTGATGTACAATGAAGCGTTGCGTGATGTTAACCGCACAATCACCGTGGTCGTACGTGCCGATGGCTCAGGAACAACGCAGATATTCTCAGGAGCGCTGGGACGCTTCAGCCCTATGTGGAAAACCACTTATTCAAGGTTTAGCGATGGTCCGTATCACCATTTCTCGATCATGCAATTAATATAATTACTACGT